CAAAGGAAGCTGGATCACAATTACGAGAGGGTGTTTTGCCTGAATGTGTGTATGTGCAATACATGTGTACTTGGTGCCTGCACAGGGTGTCAGATTCCCTGTAGCTGGAGTTATAGATGGTTGCTAGTCACCATGTGGTTGCTGGGAATTGAACTCAGGTCCTCTGGAAGAGCAGTCAATGCTCTTGCTGACCTCTAGCTTTCCCACATCTTGGGTAATGAATGACTCCACTCTGTCCACTCACTTTTGCTTTCTCAGCACCTAACCCTATGCTCGCCCCACATAACCCATCAGGAAGCTGTGCTGCCTCTGCCCCAGAGCATCCAAAATGTGCCACTCATTCTGAGCAGTACTATAAGGTTATGCAATATAAACCATCATAATCTCTCCTCTACTTTATCCTACTTAGCCCCTAACACAGTAACCAGATTAGTATAAGGCATGTCTTGTAACTCAAAACTCTGTAGTGACTCACATTTTCCATGATTTAAAAAAAAAAAAAAAAAAAAAAAAAAAAAAGGCAAACTTGGTGATCTTCAAGTCTTCACCTGATGTTTTTATGTGTCCTTCCTTGCTGCTTTACTTCCTGTTATATTATTTTTCACTGTTGTATCCACTGTTAGCCGGTAAATTGGTAGCTACAGAGACCACCATATTCAAATTTTCAGTTGTCTTCTCCCACATACATACTTTAAGCACTCCTCATGCTTCCCTTTTATTCATCAACTCTTAACATAATTATTTTTTATGTTTATTGTCTTCCCCCATACCAATAAAAAAGAAGTTCCTCAAAAACAGAAATTTGGTGAGCTAGAGAAATGGTTTTGAAGTTGAGCACTTAATTCTCTTCCGGAGGACCCAGATTCATTACCAGCACCCATAGGTAGTTCACAACCATCTATAACTACAGCCCTCTTCTGTTTTCCAAGGGCCCCTGTGTGTACATATGTACACACATTCATTCACACGTGTGCACACACACACATTTTTTTAAGGCAAAGATTTAGATTATTTATTGGTTTGTCATATACACCAGAAAAGCATCTGGCAGATAGTTGATATTTTCTTAGGGTTGTTAAAATGAATGAGTGGGATAGCAAGAAAGCCTGGATCATGATTCCTTGAACTCTTTGGAGATAGTACTTAAAGCAGGAAGGAATGGTGAATTTGCTGGCAAATTGTCTAGTCAAATCCAGAATCCTTTGGATGTGGGAATGTGGCCATTGTAAGTGACCTTGTCCAAAGCAGCTGTGAGAAAATAGCAGAAGCTGGCTGCATTTGAGAAAAGAAAGGGAGGTAGCCTTACAGCTTGGGTTATGTGGGAGCAGAGCTCAGAACGTGAGTTGGGGGAGAGAATGTGTTGATGGTCTCTGGGCACTGATCTGGTAGAGAGTGTAGATTGATGGAGCACAGCAGAGCGAAGGTCTTGAGAAAGTGAGGAAGAGCTGTAGGTACACTTCCCATTATACAACAAAATACCAGTGTTCTCTGGTTAGCTTCAATAATATTCATGACTTTGTGGCCCATACTTCAAAATGACTGTCTCCAGTTTGGACCAGTTTCTTGAGTAGATCCACAGAACTTACTACTTGCTGGGCATTTATCCTGTGAGCACGTCTAACTAACATTTCCAGAACCAAATCTTACCTACACCTACTGTTTCCGTTAGGGTTTTTATTACTCGATAAAACACCATGACCTGTTACACAGAAAAACCCTGTCTCTAAAATACAAACAAAAAACATGACCAAAAGCAACTTGGGAGGGAAAGGGTTTCTTTAGTTAACTCTTCTACATCACAGTTCATCGCTGAAGGAAGTCAGGGCAGAAGAAATTTGAACAGGACAAGAACCTGGAGGGAGAGACTGATGCATTGGCCAAGAAGTGTGCTTGCTTTGTTAAAGCTCTGGAGCTCAAGGGTGTGACACTACATACAATGGGATGGGTCCTCCCTCATCAGTTATATAGAAAATGCCCTACTGGTGCCTACAGCTAGATCTTATGGAGAGGTGGGTGGGTGGGTTGGTTGGTTGGTTTTTTGGTTTGTTTGTTTGAGACAGGGTTTCTCTGTAGTTTTGGAGCCTTTCCTGGAACTCGCTCTGTAGACCAGGCTGGCCTTGAACTCACAGAGGTTCACTTGCCTCTGCCTACTGAGTGCTAAGATTAAAGGCATGCAACACCACCGCCTCCCGGCTATGGAGGCAATTTCTCAATTGAAGTTCTTCTTTTTGGGTGATTTTAGCTTATGTCAAGTTGACAAAAAGCTAGCCAGCACTTTCACAAATTCTGTTTTATTCTGTATATCTCATTTGAGAATCTGTTCACCGTATTATCTACTGGAGTCTATCATTTTCTTTCTCTCTTTAGTTGTTTATAGTGTCATATAAATCATCCAACTGTCTAGATAGGATGGAACTAGTAAAAGATTGATATTACAATAAAGAAATTGTTTACAAATAGAAGGCTATCACTAGATTTTAAATAAAAAGACAAAGGGGTAATATGCAAATAACATCTTTAAAAACATTGGTGGTAATATGAGTGGAAATGTGTGCAGAAAGCAATAATCATAAAGGAATATGTGGGAGGCTGGGAATAGGAACCAAAGAAAAGCAAGTCTCAGTATATGAATGCAATCTGGTTTAACAACTAACCCTGCCTTACTAAGGGCACTCAGCGCATGCCACATGGATTGGAACAGTGACCCTGTCAAATCTTGACTTAGCTATCTCCTGTCTCTGTAGTCCTTCCATTTATCTACATACCACCAAAGTGATCTTCCTAAACAAAACTTAAGGGCTGTTGATGTGCTATAGTACTGTTCAAACTTCCTCAGGTGTCTCAAATATACAAGAATATTTTCTTTTGAGTCTTTGTGAAAGAGAAGAAGGCTATTCTGAGTGTCAGCTATGTGCCAGCATGGCTATTTGACAGTAACCATAGCATAAATTTATTACAGTCATAAATAAGATTTCATTGAAATCTGCTGCCTGAACAAGTCTGTAGGACAGAGTCAGAACACTGCCTGGGGAGTCACGTAGGTCTTTCCAAACTGCCCTCTGATTATGTATCCTGGCTGTCATTAAGCCTTTGTTCTTTTATCTCTAAAAACAGATACATGGTTTCTTCTTGCACTGCAGTGTGTTTTCCTCAAGTTGTATCCTTGTTGAGAGAGAATCAAGCAACAAAGGAAAGGCTGAGACTGGCTTAGTTGATAGCGTGTTTACCTAGCATTCAGGAAGCTCTGGGTTTAATTCCCAGCAACACACAAACAGAGCATAGTGGTACACTTGGGAAAAGCAAGAGGATCAAAAGTTTAAGGCATACTTGGTTACAAAGTAAATTCACAAGTATTCTGGACTCTAGAAACCAAAGGGGTGGGGGCAGGCTAGGGAGAAACTCAGTACTGTACCAACACAAGGACTCCTTTTTAAAAAGAAAAGCAAGCAGGCTTTGATAATCTCAGTGCTGTGGGGGAGCAGAGGAGGCTTGCTAGTCACTAGCTCAGCTCCAGGGTCAGGGACAAGCCCTGCCTCAGGGAAATAAGGAAGGGAGTGATAAAGTGACCTCCATGCATGGCACATGTGTATATTCATGAGTGTGTACACACATGATACTCATTTTTCTTGCCAAAAGATACTGAAAAACTTGTTTCACCCCCCAAAACCCAGCTGACTTCTCAGCACTGTTTGTCCTTCATTTGCAGCCAGTTTCCTTTCTATCTAGAAAGACCATGCCACTCTTTTGATCTACATCTTAAAAGCATTACATTCAGACTTAATGATTCTAAGAATGTTATGGAAAAATTTCAGAAGACTGAGTAGTTGAGGTTTTTCTCCCTGTCTCAGGGAGACACCCACTTTAATGCATGCTCCAAATTGTTTCATTTCACAATTAATTTTAATGGTATTGAGTATTAATAGTATGAGAATGATAGGAGATAGTTTTTCATTGGTACTAAATTATTGTTAGTTAGAATAATTGTTACCAGATGTGATAGTTTGAATGTAATCTCTTAGGGAGTAGTACTATTAGGAAGTATGGTCTTGGTGGAGGTGGACTTTGAGGTCTCATATATACTCAGGATACCACCCAGTGTCTCACTCAGGTCCCTCCTATTGCCTGCAAGTCAAAAAATAGCCAGCACCATGTCTGCTTGCACACTGCCATGCTCTCCCCCATGATGATAATGAACTAAACCTCTGAAATTGTAAGCCGACATCTCAATTAAATGCTTTCCTTTATAAGAGTTGCCATGGTCGTGGTGTCTCTTAAGGCAAAGAAGTGCTATGCTAACTAGCCTGGTCCTCAAAGCAAGTTCCAGGACAGGCTCCAAAGCTACACAGAGAAACCCTGTCTCAAGCAAACAAACAAAAAGCTAACTAAGACATCAGACTTCTTGTTTCACTTGGTGTGGGGTGCTTGAGCAGACTGGCACCTATAAAAAGGAGGACCTAGAAGTTGTTTGTGTTGTGCAAATAGCAAAATAAAGACATACATTTCACCTCTCTCATCAACAAGCTGTAAGCTGGTCTTATTTTGTTGTTGTCTTATGATCCCCCACTGGAGCAGAAAGGGATTCTGTAAGAGTTTAAGCCTCCACTTCTTTATTAGGTACTGATTTACATACTTAGGTTACATACATGGAGTGTCTGAAAATATGTGCACACTAAATATGCAGAACTTGGTATTTATAATTGGAAATGTTATTGGAATCATTTGGGGTTTGAGTTTTGCTCCTCCTCCCCCCCCCCCCCTTGGGATCATCTCTGAAGTTAGTAGCAGCAGCAACTAAGGCACTCTCCCACTAAGGTGTTGTGGGCTGTTTAGGAGAGGGAGAGACCTTGGCTTAAACATTAAGATTAACTGTATGTATTTCAGGTTATCTTTTCAACAGTTCTTGAATTGTTCATCTTGTTATTTTGGATCCTAAAACATTTTAGCATGGCTTATTGTTTTCCTTGGTAAATTTAAAAGTGGGCATTTTGTTTTCTTTCTAGGTTTTGGGCGGAAGGATGTAGTTGAGTATCTGCTTCAGAACGGTGCAAATGTGCAAGCACGTGATGATGGGGGTCTTATTCCTCTTCATAATGCATGTTCTTTTGGTCATGCTGAAGTAGTCAATCTCCTTTTGCAACATGGTGCAGACCCAAATGCTCGAGATAATTGGAATTATACTCCTCTCCATGAAGCTGCAATTAAAGGAAAAATAGATGTTTGCATTGGTAAGCCTGTATTTCTTTTTCAGAGTTTTCTAGAAATTGTAACTATTCTGAATCTAATTTGTTACTGTCATTCATGATTTAATCTTTTTTTTTTTTTTCTTCAGCCCTCAATCTAACTATTCTTTATTGAATGCCTTTTCTTAAAATCTTAAAGTTCTTTGGGAAATAGAAAAAAAAATCATTCTCTAGAAACTTATTTCTTGAGAGATAAGATGAATGAAGAACCAAATAAAAGGCAGCCAGGCATGGTGGCTTTTAGTCCCCAGCACTCACTCAAGAGGCAGAGGCAGGTGGATCTCTGAGTTCAGTGCCAGCCTGGTCAACAGAGCAAGTTCCAGGGTGGCCAGAGATACACAGAGAAACCCTATCTCTAAAAATCAAACAAAGCAAAAGAACCAAATAAAAACATGGTAGAAATGAACATTGAGTTCATGAGAGGATAGTGGCTAATGATAAGTTAGTGTGCTGGTTAGGTTTCATCACCTAGACACCAAGTAGAGTCACCTGGCAAGACTGAACCCCAGTTGAGCATTTCCTCCATTAGGTTGACCTGTGGGCATATTCTTAGTTCTTAGTTGATGTAGGCAGGCTCAGCCCACTGTGGGCGGTGCCTTCCCAGGCAGGTGAGCCTGAGCTGGGTCAACAGTGTTCCTCCATTGCCCTTGCTTGACTTACTGCCCTTAGGTTCCTGCCTCAGCTTTTCTTGATGATAGAGTGTGACCTGTAAGCCAAATAAACCGTTCCCCAAGTGTCTTTTGGTCAGGGTTTTATCCCAGTAACAAAAATCTGGACTGGCTAACCAGAATCAGGTCTCAAGGCTCAACTTTTTGGCATCCTTGTACTGGAGAAATGTTAGGAAAACAGAAAGGGACTTATGAAGAACTCTGGTTGTAGTTTGAGGGTCTTGTTCTAACTATATAGGCACTGTTCCGTAACTTACCCAGATCAGTCTTGACCTTTCCAGTCTTCAAAAAAAGTTTATTATTTGCTTCTGTGTATGCAAGTACACACAAATTCATGCTTGTATTCACATAGGTTTTAAGTCCTATGTCTCTCTGCCTGGTCTTGGTACAGCTTTAGACATTTCATGATAGAAGAGTCTTTCTAACATAGACAGTGCTCCTTTGCAACAAGAAAAGCTTTCAAACCATTTTTCCCTTTTACCCCTGCATACTTCTTATTGACCTTCATCACTTGTCACTAGCCATAAAAATAGCCAAGAAAAACTTTACATTGAATTGAGAAAACATAACATGCTCTTTGTGTTTAAATAATTGAATATGTTACATTTTCTTAAATTTAAACATTTATTATTGGTATACAAAAAGCAATTAAATAATTTTGAGAATTCTGTACTGGGACTTTTACTTTAAATGTATTATTGTCACTATTATTGTATGTGTCTATGCGATGTGGAGGCCATGTATACCAGGACATGTGTAGAAGTGAGAGAACTCTGTGGACTTGTTTCTCTCTTTTCACCTTTAGATGGATTCTAGGGTTTGAACTCAATGTTGTAAAATTTGCACAGCAAGGGCCTTTACCCACTGAGACATCTGACTGGTCACTATACCAGAACTATTAAGAAACTGATTCATTAACTCAGATTGCCATGATCACCATTGTGAAAGGTAGTGTTGCTATTTTTGCAGTGCTTTTACAGCATGGAGCTGAGCCAACCATCCGAAATACAGATGGAAGGACAGCGTTGGATTTAGCAGACCCATCCGCCAAAGCTGTTCTGACTGGTACGTCTGTGCACATTGTGTATTCCAGGAAGAATAAAAATACTTAATGGGTTAGGTAGATGCATTGATTCGTGCAGCTAATGACCTCAAGTAGAATTTGTGAGTAGCGTAGTTCACTTACTATTTTGCTGTCTATCAGCAGTTTAATTTGGTTCTTCTCTAAAAATAAAGCTTTTTTTCCTTTCAAATTTGAATTTAAATTTATCATTGTATTGACAACAGGATGTGATACATGTGTTGCTTCAGGTATTCAGTATATTTTTAAAATATCCCCAAACTTTTCAGATGACAAATGTACTCCTTTATATACTATTATATTTTTAGTGTAATGATTTTTCTTTTTAAGGAATCCTTTCAAAAAGCACAATTTTCTTTTAGATAATTTCGAATTACGATATGGGACACATTTCATACCATGAGTATGGTTGTTTTAACTACAGTTCATTTCTTTGGACTCTGTTGGCATGAGAGCTCTAGTTTAAGGTAGAGGCCTTAATTTGAGTTATATCTACTTCATGTGTTTTTTTGCCCTTACCCAGTATGCTATCCATTTAAGTAACTGCCATTATTTATTGGATTCGTTTTATAAATATTTATTTAATTGTGTGTGTGTGTGTGTGTGTGTGTGTGTATGTGTGCAGTGCCTAAGGAGATTAGAACAGGTGTCAGAACCTGGTATAACTATAGTTATAGATGGTTGTGAGCTATTATAGTTGGTTGTGAGCTGCCATATACCAGGTGCTTGGGACCAAATTTGAGTCCTCTACAAGAGCAGTAACCATTTTTAACCACTGTGCTGTCCTTTCAGCCATGTTTACTGGGCTCTTATCTATCCTTAGGAGTTTATTTCTAGGTTGATCTACTTTAAATCTTTGTGCATAAAATCACTGAATTGTTTTGAAAATTTCTCATCTTTCCCTTTACACCCCAATTCACAGGTGACTATAAGAAAGATGAACTATTGGAAAGTGCCAGGTATGTACTACTCTTATGTATGTGTGCCATGGAAACTTCATAGTGAGGGGATGGAGAGATGGCTTAGTGATCAGGAACACTTGATAGTTTTTCAGAGGTCTCAGGTCAGGTCCAGGTCCCAGCACCCACAAGACAGCTCACAACTATCTGAAACTCTAGTTCCAGAGGTTCCTATACCCACTCCTGACCTCCTTGGGCTCCACATAGTTTCTCTGTGCAGCCCTGGCTGACCAGGCTGGCCTCCAACTCACAGAGATCCACCTGCCTCTGCCTCCTGAGTGCTGGGATCAAAGGTGTGTACCACCACTGCTCAGCTAAAAATAAATCTTTAAAAAAGAAATTCTTGCTTGGCATGGTGGTGCACACCTTTAATCCCAGCATTCTGGAGGCAAAGGCAGGTAGATCTCTATGAGGGGATGGGGAGATGACTCAGAAGAGTGATTTGATGCTCTTGCAAAGGACCCAGGTTCAGTTCCTGGTACCCACATCAAAAGGCTTAAAACTACTCTTAACTTCAGCTCCAGGGCCAAATGGTGCCTCTGACCTCTGGGCAGCACACACAAGTGTGTATGTATATGTACATGCACACACACAAACACATTAAAAAAATAAATAAAGATAAGATATTTAAAAAGAAAAGATTTCACTGTGAATCTCTGGTTGTTCACCCCCAATTCCCAAATGTGGTAATGGCCTGCACTATACTCTCCATCCGTGGGAGGCAGAGTCAATAAGCCTACTATGAGATCAGGGTAGTTTGAGCTGTATAGAGTTCCAGGACAATCTGTGCTACAGAATGTCAGACCAAGTTTTTTTTTTTTTTTTAATTGCCATAAATATGCTTTAAGAAAAAACTTTGTTTTAATGATCATAATACGTAGTATAAGCTACTGATACATTTTTTTTTTTTATGTGTGTGTTTCTAGGAGTGGCAATGAGGAAAAAATGATGGCTCTGCTTACACCGTTGAATGTCAACTGCCATGCAAGTGATGGCAGAAAGGTACTTGCTTTTGTGATTTTTTTTTTTTTTGGTCATCTGGTGGTGTAAGTGTATATTTATAAATTAAAACATTTAAAGAGAGTTCTAGTGGGGTTTTTTTTTTAAATAGTAATTAAAATTCTTAAGCTTAATAAAACACACTGGTAATGAACATTATCTCTGTATGCAATAGTGAACTTTAAACTTTTATGCTTTGCTTTCTATATATGTTAATTTTATAAAATCAAATTATTAGCAATGAAGTTTTTGATGTTTCAGACATGTTATGCAGCCATTATGTGAATTTCATTAGTTTATTTGGTTATTGTTTCAGTCAACTCCATTGCATTTGGCAGCAGGATACAACAGAGTAAAGATTGTACAACTGTTACTGCAACATGGAGCTGATGTCCATGCTAAAGATAAAGGGTAAGCTTTGAACAAAAGGGAGGTCTTCTTGTTCCGTCCTTGTAACACTGAAAGCATGTCCTCTTTCATTGTTTGTATTTATTGAGCTTTTGTAAGTTGCAGGCTGTTCTGAGCACCATAGGAATTATAAAGCATTAAGCCTACCTACCACTCATACAAAACAATTCAAAGCTCATGAAAGATGCTTCATAAATTTGAGTGAAAGTAGAAATTGATGGATGGAGTTATTAGAAAATCTTTTAGGAGATGTATGCTCTACCCATATCTTCAAGTCAGTATTCACTTCAAGACTTAAAGCAAAGTTCAGGGCAGGGTGTAATACCACATGCCATAATCCTATAACATAGAAGGATATAGTCAGAAGTCTCAAAAGTTCAAGGGCGTCTTTAGCTACATAACAGTTCAGGGATAGCCTAGGCTATATGGAACCTAGACTCAAAAATAAATGAGTAGATAAATAGAAAGCAAGAGTTTAGGGAACATAATTCTATAGGAAAATGTAGGTAGTACATTTAAGTAGTAATCAAGCCAACTTTGACACAGTTTTATAATCCCAGCTCCTTGGGAAGATGAAGGAGAAAGATCACAAGTTGAGATCAGCCTGGGGCAATTTAGTATGATATTCATACCACCATACCCCTAACCCTAATGAAGAAAGCAGTGTCGCTCAATGGTAGGATTCTTGTTTTAGCATGCACAAAGGCCTCGGTTCAGTCACCAGTAACACACACACACACCAAACTATCTTGGATAAAGTAGATGATGATGATTCTCCTGGGACAAATACCAGACTTGGAGAAACTGGATTAAAAAAGAAAGTTTTGGTGTATTAGCATGAACTTAATTTTGTTTTGCAGTCTTAAGCATTTTGTGATCTGAAATAAAGAGCTGTTGTTATTTTATCCTCAGAGGAGCTTAAGGAAGTGGTGCATTGTGGGATAATACATGTTGGATTAATTGGGGAAGAGGGAGACTAGAAGTAGGAAGAGCAGTATCTAAGGTGAGCTCTGTGAAGCTTCTGTGCAGCTAAGATCTGACAGTAGTTGCAGGGGAAATGAAAAGGAAGGCATAGACATGTACTGCAGTGGAAAAGGAGAGATAGTGAAGATCTGAATGTGAAGCAAGAGAGAAAGGAAATGAAAACTTTTGTGTCTTGGAACTATGTGAGTTAGACCCGCAGCACAAATACTGAAATATAGGACGGAAATGGTTTGGCAGAAAACATTGTGCTTTTAGAACTCTTGGTTTTATGAGAATATGGAAATTGAAGCAGAAGTATTTAGTGATTAGCAGTAAAATTGGTATTCAGGTAGGGGAAGAGCTGTGTCACCAGAAGCTGCTCTGGCAGTGCTTGTACCAGTTAATGATGCTGATCCCCAAGGAGAGGGAGCAGCTTAAAGGTAGAAGCCAGAATTTTAAGGTTCCACGATGTAGGAGTTCTTCCATTACACTACAAAAGAATTTGGCTTCAGTTTACTGAGGGCTATAGCACTTGCCTTACTGAATTAAGATGTTTCAGGCTGGGGTGGAGGGGGGTCAGTGCACACCTTTAATCCCAGCACTTGGGAGACAGGCAGGTGGATCTCTGCGAGTTCAAAGCCAGCCTGGTCTACTGAGCAAGTGCCAGGGCAGTCTCTAAAGACTGCAGGTGGGTGGGTGTCTGTGAGTTCAAGACCAACCTGGTCTACATAGTGAGTTCCAGGACAGCCAAAGCTGCATAATGGAAAAATTAGAAAGTTTAAATCATCTCTTCAAAGCAAGACTAGAGCTTAGAGAAAAAATTGGTTTAGAGGTTATTTCAGAAAAACAGAGTTTGTAACAATGTAAGCCCAAACTAGTAACCAGTAGTAGTGATAGGGAGAAAAGGACTATGGCTTTGAAAGAGACTCCAGAATTATAGTTTGAAGATTGCTCTAGGGATTCTGTAATAATGGGCTTTCTCCCTTACTTTCCCACAGTGACCTGGTACCATTACACAATGCCTGTTCTTACGGTCATTATGAGGTGACTGAACTTCTGGTCAAGGTTAGTTCTTTTGTGCCTTATTATTTTCTCTAATTATGTAAAATGATTTCAAATGCACAGTGTTTTCTGGCTTATTCTTTGTTCTGGGTGCTTGGTAGAAAGTGGGAATAATTATAATATGTAGATTATTAATAGGCTAGCATTTGACTGCCTTCATGCACTATTAAATATAAATAAAAAGTAGCGCTAGAGAAGTCATACAAAAGTGTTATTTGATATTTGAGGTAAGGGAACAGGGACTTACTAGAATAAGATAAGAGGTCCTGCACAAATACCAGGTTAGTCCTTACTAAAAAAATCTGGCTAACTGAAGACATTCAGTGACTGCATTCCATCACCAGAACACTCACTATACCCAAGAATAGAGGTACCAAGTGATATCCCTGAGTTAAATAATAAAGTATGGCACCAGCAAACACAAAAATAGCAAGGAGGGCTAGCAAGATGTTTTAGTAGATAAGGCCTCTTGCTGCCAAGCCTGGGGTCCACATGGTAGGAGGAAACCAGTCCTTCAAGTTGTCTTCTAACCTCTGTATGTGTACTGTGGCACTTGCATGTTTATACACACAATAGTTTAATTTGACAATAACTGTACTTTTAAAAAATTTTTTTAAAATGCCAAGGTTGGCACTTGCCTTTAATCCCAGGGGCAGGTGGATCGTCTTTGAGTTTGAGGCCAGCCTGGTCTGCATAGTGAGTTCAAGCCAGCCAGGTATACATAGTGAGACTCTGTATTAAAGTACCACAAATAAGTAATTTTTTAAAAAAAAGAATAGCAAGGTATTTTCTCAACTTTTCATCTTTATAGCCTCTAAGCGCAAGGAAGCACGTAGTCTGGTCTGAGGGGAAATTCTGACAGATTCGTAAGTAAATTGCTGTGCCAAGAGTTGACTGTTACTCTCCGCTTGAGAGGGAATGTCAGAAACTCTAATATATTAGGCTGCCTGAAGGTTCTGTCTGTAACTTTATTGTGATCCAGGTTTTAATGTTGGCTTGATAAACAATTAGAGGATATAAAGCTAATTTGTTTTCTGGTTTTAACCCTTTCATTTAGATTTCTTTATGTATGTGGAGGGAGTGGTTAAGTGTGTAAAAATATAATTGAAAGTGAAAGTAAAATCCATTGTAAAGCTCCATAACTTCAGGATGAGTACTCTAGCTGTATCCATTCATTGAGACCGTGTGGCTTTTGAGTCTGGCTAATCTCATTGAATACTTATAAAAATATTTATACAATAAAGTTTTGACTGTTAAAAACATTAGAAAGGCTGGATGTTGGTGACACATACCTTTTATCCCGATACTCAGGAGGCAGATGGATCTCTTGAGTTTGCAGCTAGTCTGGTCTACAGAGGGAGTTCCAGGACAGACTCCAAAGCAATACAGAGAAGCTCTGTCTCAAAAAAGAGAAAAAGAAAAACAAAAAAGAGTTTGGAGGCTAGAGAAGTGCTTGGGGTTAAAAGCAATCAGAGAACCAGAGTTGGATCCTAGCACCCACATTGTATACCTCCAACAGCCTGTTAACTCCAGTTTCAGGAGATCTGACTGCCTCGTCTGGCTTCCACAGGCCTTGCATTGATGCATATACTGGCACACAGATACATGCAGATGCACATAATTAAAATCTTAAAAAAAAAACAACAAAAAAAATGCCTCCTCCCAAAATAAGAGCTTTTAAAGTTTCATGAGTATAATGTGTATTGTTGGCTAATGGAATTGGAGTGTCTATAGAGAGTCAAACCACATTTAAGAATCTTGTTATGTCAAGCTCCTCTTCCTCCCTGTTGCCTTATTCTTCTCATTCCCTCTCCTAGAAACAGTCCAGTTGTCCAGTGACAGCCTAGGTAAATCACAATGTAATGAAAGCTCCTCAGCAATCCAAACTGGTGATACAGCTTGAGTCTCAGGAAAATTAACATGTGAAAGAGCTAAACAGACAATCTACTTGCTTCATTTTTATGAAATCCAGGGACACATAAATATGGTACTAATAGAAGGGGGCAAAAATTACCAATGAAAGAAGCATAGAAAACATTCTGTGGTATTGGTGGTACATACCTTTAATGCCAGCACTCGGGAGGCAGAGACAGGCAGATAGATCTCTGAGTTTGAGGCCAGCCTGGTCTACAGAGTGAGTTTCAGGACAGCCAGGGCTACCCAGAGAAACCCTGTATCGAAAAACCAAAAGAATATGAATCTTGCTTCCATAATCTGTCAATTTACTAAGCTACATTCATTAAAGTTGTGCTTCCCTGTATGTAAATTATACCTGCAAAATGAAAGGGAGATTCTTGCAAAAGTCTTTTTTTTTTTTTTTTCCAACTTTCATGTTGTTAAACTACACAGACTTAATGTAGATTCTCTTAAGAATTGAACATTAACTGTACACCTTTTCTTTCCCAGCATGGTGCCTGTGTAAATGCAATGGACTTGTGGCAGTTTACTCCTCTTCATGAGGCAGCTTCTAAAAATAGGGTTGAAGTGTGCTCTCTCCTCCTGAGTTATGGGGCAGATCCAACACTGTTGAATTGTCACAATAAAAGTGCTATAGACTTGGCTCCCACACCTCAATTGAAGGAAAGATTATCATGTGAGTATAAAAATGATATTTAAGATGGGTGTGATGGCACATACCTTTAATCCCAGCCCTTAGGAAGCAGATGTAGGTAGAGCTTCTTAGTTCAAAGGCAGCCAGGTTCATGCCAGCCAGGGCTACATAGTGAGGCCCTGTCTTGAAAAGGAAAAAAAAAAAAAAAATGTGATACTTAGTGAAGATACATGGTCTTTATGGGGGGGGTTAAATAATAAAGTATTTTCCTTATTGGTGGTTATCTGTTCCTGTTTTGCATAGTTAATAATTTAAATCCTGTGTAAAAATATATTTGGGCTAGTTTTTTAATTAAGAACTATAAATTAAAGCCTTTGGATTTTACTCATATCTTTGGGACTTTGTAGTTAATTTTACAAAAAGGTGTTTGTTATCTTGTAAATACAGTCCCTGGGTTGTGACATATAATGTTCTTTACTGCCTGGGCCAAATTCTGTGGTTTTCTGTGTAGCTAAAAAAAATACAGTAAGAAATAAGCACTTGATTCAGATATAGTATTCCTACATATAAATGAACAGCATGAACTAAACTCACATTGTTCTAGAACGGTAAAATGATGATGACTGATTTCACAAATGTAATAAGTAAAAGAGGAACTTTGAGGAAACGCTTTCTTTAATTTTGTTCATCCTGAGGAGCAGTTGGTAAGCCTGATAGGCATGAAGAAGACGGTCTTCTACTGCTGTAATACTACCATAGGGTTATGGTCACCCTTTGTAAATTATCAACAGATTATGGGTTGAATGAATGAGCCATGACTAATGGGACCTAGAATGCCGTTGTATTTGTTGTTAATACAACAAATGGAGCCTTGACCTGGCTATTTTGGAGATTATTTTGAAAATAATTCAAAAAGAAAGAAAATACTAGTATTGTGTGAGTCAAGCCTCATTACTATGATAATTTTCATGTAGATGCAAATGCTTCTTCATTTAGATGAATTCAAAGGCCACTCATTGCTGCAGGCTGCACGGGAAGCTGATGTGACAAGGATCAAAAAACATCTTTCTCTGGAAATGGTGAATTTCAAACATCCTCAAACACACGAAACAGCATTGGTAATGTTTCAGACTTAAGCTTTTAAAATAAAATAACCAAAAACCAAGCATAATCTGTGATTCAAGTGATGGCATTGTTTTTTAACATACTCTTCTGTTGTTTGTTGTCTGGTTGATGTTTTAGTTGTTTTGGTTTTTGTAAGTTTAGTAGCTTTCTATAGCCCTGATTGGCCTCATATGGGCGGTAGTCCTACCTCTGCCTCTCAAATGTTGAATTAGGCATTTGTTACCATGCTGAACTAATTTCAGTTGCCCATCTATACATAAAGGAAAAAAATCTAAATAGTGTAGAAAAATAGGAAACTTCATCCAAAAAAAATGTAGTACTAGTAGTTTAAGAACCTATCTAGAAAACAAATCTCCATGTTCTTGCATGCTATATGTAACTTGGTTATATCTATAAATGAAATTGATCATTTGTGGATTCCCACAAGTTTGAATTAAGTACCTTAGAGTTACTTCCATTAACAAACTAGGCATGACATTACACCCCTAGAATCCCAGTATCCAGGAGGCTAAGGTAGGAGGACCACCAGTTTAAGACTAGACAGAGCCACACTAGCAAAACTCTTATCTTAAAAATCAAGTGGAGGAAGGGCATGGAGTGAGAGACTGTGGAACTGAGATACAGTAATGTGAGTAGTGAAGTCCAGGAGCTACCAGAGATGGGTGGTGAAATACAGAAGCAAGGTCAATGGCTAACTTTCTTAAAAATAGAAATTCCAAAAGAAACTGTTTTAAATGTCACAATGTTCCTTAGTCAGAAAGAGATGAGAAAAGGAAGCTGTCTGGTAGATAATGTATTTGCCACTTACCTTTCTTTTGTTTATTTATTTATTTTATGTGCATTGATGGTTTTGCCTGCATGTATGTGTTGAAAGTGTCAGATGTTGGAGTTATAAATAGTTGTGAACTGCCATGTGGGTGCTGGGAATTGAACCTGGGTTCTTTGGATGAGCAGCCAGTGTTCTTAACTGCTGAGCTATCTCTCCAACCCCATCACTTTTTTTTTTTAATTCAAGTTAAAAGAAACTAAAGTTCTAGACTAATAAAAATATTAATCATAAAATTAAAACCATAGCAGCATTAAAGTAGTATGGAGAAGCTTAACTGTCATGAAAAATTTTCTAGTTGTGAAAATCTAATACATTTGTAGCCCATTATCTAAGGAGGATATCTTCCAGCTCCCCAGTCACTGCTTAAAATCACAGATAGTGCTGAACCATACGCACATACATACATACATAGTTTTTTTTTACATAACTATACCTGTGATAGTTTAATTTATACTTTACACACAGTAAGATTATCGACTGTACCAGTAGCTTTTAGTAAGATTTTAGTATACAGTATCTTTTCTGTCCATAGTAAGTCGAAACTCTTCAATTAAAAAAGTACTTTTACAGCTTCTCTTTGGCTTATCATAATGACCAGAAAAACTACCCCTGCACTTTAGAACTATTAAGTAAAATAAGCATTTCTTGAACACAAGCACTGGTACATTCAGTTAATCAAATGATAACAAACAAAGTTACTAATGAGTATGCAGCATTTGCAGCCTGTGTACTCTGAACAAAGATGTGGTTCACATCCCAGTGCAAAAGACAGGGTTTCATCATACTCCTCAGAAGCATGTTTATTTCTGGAGCTTTTCTGTGTAATATCAGATCATAGTGATCTCAGATAATGAAAGCAAAACAGCACAGATGAAAGAATGTTGTACTATGTATATTTTCCGCAAGTACCCTGCTATAAGCATCATGTCTTTAACTTCAAAATACTCTTTAAGACTTAAGTGTTCATGGGTAGTTCTGCTGCAAGGGCAGTTTCTTCTTGTTTCCAGAGATTGCAGGCTCTTGCCTAAGATGGACAGAAAAATAGGCCTCTAATTTGTGGTGGGTGTAATAAACTGTCTTGGAAATAAACTACTTCCATTTTTTGTGTGTGTTCAGAAAGATGTCCTAATTTATTACCCTTAGTATGTCAAAAGAACTATGTACCAGTTAGACTTGACTGTATTGAGGGTGAGGGAATTATTTTGGTGACTATAGCAGTATCAAGAAATGAATCAGGAGCATGTGAGGAACTGACAAAATTTATGATTAATAACAGGAGAATAAGGGCTGGAGAGATAGTTCAAAGATTAAGAGCACTGGATGCTCTTCCAGAGGTCCTGAGTTCAATTCCCCTTTATGCCCTCTTCTGGGCATAAAGGTTTATATGCAGATAGAGCACTCAGATACATACAATAAGTAAATCTTTTAAAAAGTAACAGGAGAACATTTCATAATCACTGTATGATTAGATGCATAGAGCATCTTTGCTCTAAATTTTTAACCAGAATTTTTAGCACACAAATTTCAGATTTGGGTTTTGACAAATATTCACATTGATTTGGTCAATTGTCGGTCAGATATTGAGTGCCTGTTATACTCAAGTAAAATTGTAAAGTTTTGTGCCATAATCAGAGATAATAAGTTTATAAAAGGCAAATCCCTGCCTCCTTTCTCTTTCCCTCTGTGGTACTCAGAAATGCTGCAGCAATAAACAATACAGGTTGTGCCAAACAGAAAAATTCAAGCTCTTTATTCTGCTGTGGCAACTAGTTAAGGAAGATAGTCAACTTAGCAGCTAGCCCATCAGTGCTGTTAATCCAGCAGAATTCAGAACATAACAATGGGTACTTTTTTTTTTTTTTTTTTTTTTTTTTTCATGTAACAACCCAAACCCTCAGCTGAGGATAAATACCCATCGATACAGCTGGACTATCATCTGTAAAGCTGTGGGTTCAGTATTTAGCACTGTGAGAAGAAATGCCAACATTTGAGTCTTTCCTTAACCTTTTAAATATAACATTTTCATCCTATCAGTAGTTGCTTTTTTAGAGATTGAGTACAAAGTTTAACCAGGACATTTAATGGCACATAGTATATGATCTGTGGGGTTTTCTGGCCATGTCAGAATCTATAATTCCTACATGTACTCTCCAATGGAAAGTCTTTCAAGATCAAAGTCCAGGAAAAATAAAACAAAGAAGTTAGATTGCATTTATTACCCTTGATTGGAAACACAGGTGTTCTTAAGTGGAACTGGTTCTGTATGGTCCTTGATTAATGCTGCAATTTGAATTATTTAGCATTGTGCTGCTGCATCTCCATATCCCAAAAGAAAGCAAATATGTGAACTGCTGCTAAGAAAGGGAGCAAACACCAACGAAAAGACTAAAGAGTGAGTATACCTTTGACTAGTAGATGTCATTGATATCTTTTTGTATGGAAAAATATACTTATTGTGGCTGGTCTTTTCTCTTTAAGATTCTTGACTCCTCTGCACGTGGCATCTGAAAAAGCTCACAATGACGTTGTTGAAGTAGTGGTGAAGCATGAAGCAAAGGTATACATCATTTCTGGTAATCTTTGGTAATCCAGTGAGTTACTTTCTGTTTAGTGGATATCTGGCTCCTTAAACTCTTCAATCTATCATAAATTTTTTTTTTTCTCTTAGTTTACAATTCAAAACAGCCCCAGGCTGGGGAGTAAAATACTTGCCATGCAATTATGAGTACCTGAGTTCAGATCCCCAGGACCCATGAAGCAGGAAGTAGTAGGGGCTAAATGGGAGGCAGAGAGGAAAGAGTGCCTAAATGCTTGTAGGCCGGCTAGCCTGGCATTTGAGTACCCAATCTGTACAAACAATATAGAGGGCGAGGAGCCATACCCAAGGCTGTACTCTTGACCATCATGCACGTGCACATGTGTATGCATGCATACGCACACTCCTCAATATGCAGAGAGATGAGGGGAGGTCCTATGGACAACTTCCCAAATCTATCTATTGTATGTACATTATTCCTGTATGTCCTTTTTTCTCTGATCCAAGTTATTCTTGACTTTTCTTAACAATACACAGAACACCTCTTGTAGCAGGAGACCCATCCTACCCTAGTTTTCTTTTCTGACCTTTACCTGAAATTCCAAGTTTGCACTTTCCACCATTTCTGTAACTAAGACAAAGAACTTGAATAAAAATAAAAAAGTATTTTGACTTAAAACAAAATGTGTAACCATGTTGATAAATTAAGATTCTTTAGTTGGCATTTATACACAAAGCATTTCACCCCTTGAATAACTACATCCAACAAAGCTGTAAATCATTTTCTTACTCAATAACTTTAAAATATAATTAGCAGTGAGTCCAGAGAAATGGCTTAGTATATAAAGTGCTTGCCATTCAAGCCTAACTACCTGAATTAGATCTCTTGTAATCCATGTGAAAAGGCAGGTATGGTGGGACACATCTGTAATCTCAGTGTTCTGATAGATGGGCAAGTTAGCCAGTTCAGCAGCCAGTAGCAAAGTGGAAGAAACAATAACAAGATCCTGCCTTGACATGGTAGAAGATGAGAACTGAATCCCAGAAGATGTTCTCCGGCTTCCACACACTTACATACACACAATAAATTTCAAATTTTTGACATAAGAAAATGCTTGGTAAAAGGTATACATGGCAGAAATGACAATTGATAGTTTCCAGTTTTTACTCCAAAGATTTTTACCTTCTTCAAAGAACATTTTTAATGAAAATGTAGTCTGTGGTACAGAAATGGAGCTGTTGGATTGGGGGCAGGCTCTGAGTGGCCCTGAGATCTTTTCCTCACTGGCTTTGCAGGTCAGTTTTCGTACTTTCCTTCAGTTTCTTTTTCTGTTAACTTTTAATGTCCTAATCTCTGGTTTTGGGAAGTTCTTGACAATGTATGAACTTGATTTTTTTTTTCCTACTGTAAATTACTGAATAAAATAAAGTTTGTTCTGCTTGACTACTTGTCATCCTCATTTGTCTCTACTCTGTGCCTTCTTGTTGATCACTTTCCTTACATATGGCACATTACTTGAAGAGTATACAGGCACACATTGAATTTGAGCTGTGAAACTTAGTGAGACAATTCTGACTATAGAGCATTCATTTGCTTTTGACCAGGACTTGGTAGTTTTAAAAACTCATATCATAATGTGAAGACTGAGGAAGTCCCAGGTCACCCTAATGTATAACATTCAAAGCTTTCAGGAAATGTTTTTCCAAAAATATGGTTTAGTATGTGAGTGAACATTGCCCTGAACATTTCAAGTAGGTTTTCAGTTCTGTAATCATAGACATTTATATTCTAGTTTTATGCTCATTTAGATCTTGCTGTGTCCATCTTCAAATATTCTCTAATGACATGAATGAATTGGCCAGTGTCAAAAGACTGGTGGACAAAGGGTTCATGAGTATATATATTGAATTGTTTTCATGGTAGGAAGGCAGAATGGGAATGGGGTGGCCTTAGGGCTAATCTTATTTTCCTCCGAAGAATTTCAAAGGTACGGCCAAATTGAAAGAATTTTACAAAAAATAGTTTGATAACCTACTACCTGGATACTATCACCAGCTATATTATGTTACATATCCACCAACATGTCGTATTTCTTGTGCACATACATGTATAAATAGCAACTAGAGTTGGGTGTTTATATATAGTTTTTCTATAGATACAAAATCCATATGGGGTGAAATGTACAAATCAATGTGTATTTGGTGCATTTAACAAATGTGTGTGTGTGTGTGTGTGTGTGTGTGTGTGCATATACATAAAGAATAAATCTGTGCAACCAAGATCTATTAAAAAACACAGGCTAAGGCAGAAGTGGGTAGTGAGTAACTCAATGGTAGATTGTTTCAATGTGTAAAAGGCCTTGAATTCAGTCCATAACCGTGCTTCATCTCAAGCAACCTCTACCCTAAGCAGTAATAGCCATTTTGAGGTTTATGTGATCACAAACTTGTACTCTTTAGTGTGAAGTTTTTCTATTTAGTATGTTTTGGAGATTAATCAGCATGTCAGTAATGCCTTTGTATTGTTGGTGAATGTTCCATTATAGATACACAGTATGTCTATTCACATAATATCCTACATGATAACATGGTGTAGAAGATTAATTAAATGAGATTGACTATTTCAGTAGTAACCTCTGTACTTGTTCCTGGCTGTTGTATATTTAGGAGTCAATTATAAAAATTATGTATCTCAAAGACTCATAAAATTACAATGGATACAGCTTTTTTCCATCAATTTTTAGTTCTAAATATGGTGAATACATAAATGCTTTAAAGCTATAAACATAAATGTTTAACTTAGTGTATTTGGCAACCCACATTTTTAACCCAGAGTGGGATCTTCATTTCTGACATTGGTTTTCATGGATTGGTGAATTTGTACTCTAGTATTGAGCGGAGGGAAATACCTAGTTTGGCACAGGACAATTGGTTTCTTTAAAATAATAATAATAATAATAATAATAATAATAATAGAAACTTTTAGTAGTAAGTATTAAGTATGCAATTGGATGATTTTAGATGGTGTGCCACAATGCTAATTGTAGTGTTTTCTGCATTATTAAGGTTAATGCTTTGGACAGTCTTGGACAGACCTCATTGCACAGAGCTGCACACTGTGGTCATCTGCAGACCTGCCGCCTGCTCCTGAGCTATGGGTGTGATCCCAATATCATATCCCTCCAGGGTTTCACCGCCTTGCAGATGGGAAATGAAAATGTGCAGCAGCTGCTTCAAGGTACCGGGTGCTTCTCTGGCGTTCCTTTTAGAGATTAACCTTTAAGGTTTTTCACATATCAGGTGTTAGGTGTAGGAGTTGTCAATAAATACATTTTTTGAGAAATGTTGATCTTCTTAACTTAAAATTCTTAAATGTCATTAAATTATAATTATAACTTTTTGTTCAATATCATATTCCACCCAGTTTCTTTGAGTAAATATAGGACACTTAAGTTTTGAAGTTTATAAAGTCGATTTGCCAGGCATAGTGATGCACACCTTTAATTCCAGTATTCAGGATGCTGAAGTAGGTGCATAACTCATCCTTTTTTGCTTTCTATTTTCTTGGGACACTGTTAATACCTGCTTTGGAGAAGTGGTCATTTGTTCAGTGTTCCCTTAGGTACATAATGAGATAGCCCCATACCAAAAAGGGGGTGGGGGCTTTAAAAGCTCTTACTAATAAAGTAAGATATGGTGATTGCTGAGTTTTTGTTTAGAGCAAGGATAACATTAAAAAGATAGGTTGGCTTTTTTGTTTTGTTTTTTCTACAGCAATCCTGGTGATAACTTCCATAAGCACTGGGATTGCTCCATTCTGTTTTTAGATCTTGGGTATATAAGATGTATATACATCTTCTGATAACATATATGTTATAATGTGAGGCTTTTCATCTTATCCCTGGCTTTATTATTTTGTTTATGGATGATTTGCCCTGGCACTTTTCCACGTTGGTTTTTTGTTTGGCTCTGCGTTTGCCATACTGTTCTAGATGTTTATCCTAAGGTGTAAGCATTTATCTCTATTTTAATTCTTTTAAGGTTTACTTTCAAACTTCAACCTTTACCTGGAACTTCCTTTGTTGTACATATTCTTTTCAGAAATTTGTGATTTGAGACACAATTTCAATTTTGTTTTGTTTTGCTTTTGCTCTTTAAAGACAGTTTCTCTGTGTATTGGTCCTGACTATCCTGGAACTCACTCTTTAGACCAGTCTGGCCTCGAACTCACTGAGATCCACCTGCCTCTGCCTCCTGTGTGCTGGGATTAAAGGTGTGCACCACCACTGCCTGGCTCCAGACACAGGTCTAAGCTGGAAAATGGCTAGTTACTTTCTAATCCACCTGCACTCTTTAAATTGAAAAAAGCCTGAGGCTCAGGAAATTAAAGTGATTGGTCCCAGTTCCAATAACTAATTAATGTCAGAACCATGTTTAAATTTCTGCTGGCTGCTCTTTTCCAGTGCTCACACATGGCGTGGTTATAGTGCAGGCAAGCTTTCGCTCTGGCTACCCCTTTACACCACTTAAATAGCATGATACAGCTAACAGTTTGTTCAGTGTATGTTTTCAGAAGTTTGTTAGCCTTAGTGTTTTCCCCTGTGGTGATACTATATAAGCTAGCAAAGTCAAAAACTACTTTTGTAAAAACAACTCCCTTGAAGCTTATTTTCTACATGGAAATTAACATCTCTATTCCCCCTTTTCTAGAGGGCATCTCACCAGGACACTCAGAGGCAGACAGACAGTTGCTTGAAGCTGCAAAGGCTGGTGATGTAGAAACTGTAAAGGTAAGATACAATCTTAAAATGTGTTAATCTTTGATTTTTAATTTGACATTGTTAGTAAATATGTATTGTTACATCAAATAGCCTTATTAAAAGGACAAAAAATACCAATTCTCTGCAGTAAGGAACATTGAGAAATGGGGGAAGAGCTTTAGTTTCACATGTAGTTTAGAAAATATCACATCACAAATTTTAGTACTCTCCTTGTATAAAATGCGATCGTCTTAAAGAACTCACTTGTCCCTATAAAAGAAGAATAAGAGGCTGGAGAAACAGTTCAGATATTAGAAGCATTTGTAGTTCTTGCAGAAGCCCTGTATTCAGTTCCAGCACCCAGATGGTGGCATACAACTATCTATCACTAGTTCCAGGGATGTAACACCCTCTCCTAACCTCCATGCGCACCAGCACTCATGTGGAGCACAGGCATACATGCAGGCAAGACATTGGTGAATATAAAATGATCTTTTTAATAAAATTGATTTTAAGGATAAGTAAGTATGAACCAGGCATGAATAGTGCACAGTTTGAACAGTAGGGAAGTTGAGGCAGGAGACTGCCTTAGCTACTTAGGAAGACCCTGTCTAAAAGCAATACCAAGAAAAAGAAGAAAGTTTTATGTCACTATCAATTACTGTTACATATGACATATAAAACAAAGGAACCAGGTTCAGGCAACTGTGTACAGATTCCTTCTGGCTCATTCATTCCTTTACCTTACCCTCTTCTGCCTGTGGATCATTTGCTACTGTTTGAGCATAGTGTTGTCACAGCTTAGAGCCATTCAGTCTCTTACTCAGCTGGGCTGAACATTTCTTTTCTCCTGCGAGCACCAGATTGCTTGTCTGTCCAATCATGGCAGTAGCCTCCCAGAGCCTTCGTCCCTCAGATTCTGTTTTGACTTGTGCCATACAGTTGCTGTCTTATTGTTACGTACAGAAATGTATGTCTAGTAAATAACCCAAAGCCTGAGGTTTTGAAAGAGCAAACTTAAATTCAATTGATATAAATCAGAATTTTCCAGGCGATGTGGTGCACACCTTTAGTCCCAGCACTTAGGAGGCAGAGGCAGGCCGATCTCTGTGAGTTGAGGCCAGCCTGGTCTACAGAGCCAGTGCCAGGACAGCTAGGGCAACACAGAAAAACCCTGCATGGATGGATGGATGGATGGATGGATGGATGGATGGATGGATGGATGGGAATATGACTCATTTGTTTCATATAGTAAATAATTCTTCAATAATGCAATAATGTTGCTTCAGTTTGTCAAAACTAACCAGGGAGAAAAGCATTCTCTCTCTTTTTTTAATTTCCCTCCTTAAAGACTTTTTCAAAACTAGGCTACTACAAGTTGAGGGAGCATTTGTGTACAGTAATAAGTTTTATATAGCTGGCTGGTGGTGCACATCTTTAATCCCAGCACTCAAGGAAGGCTGATCTCTGTGTTCTAGGATAGTGTTTTATATTGCCTAATTTGTGGCAGAAGCAGCTGGTAGAAATAATTTTGTTGAATATCTACATAGTAGATATTCTGTAGATTTATATAGTTGTTTGCTTATTTATTTATTTAAGATATACAAGCCAGACATGGTAGCACTTGTCTTTAATACCAACACTAGGGAAACTGGGGAGTAAATAAATCTCTTTGAATTTAAGGTCAAAAGACCTGTCAGGGTTACAGCTCTTAGAGTTTCTTCACTGATCTTTTAGATGGTTAAGTGTTGGGGTGGGAGTGTTTGCACTGCACCTGTACCAGTAGAGCCGTGTTTTCCAGCCCTGAATTTATTTTTTTAATTTTCTTCTTCTAAGAGTACACATGATCCTCTCTCTGCTGTGCCAGTGTCAATAGACATCACATGCAATGTGGCTTTCTGATTTATTTTTCATGCATCAGGTGATTGTGTTTTATTAAGTTCAAGGTAAATAATCAAGTTGAAACTAGATGATTTTATTTGTATGTGTATATGAGTGAGGAGACTGATGGATTTTAGATGTTAATTTACTTATAGACCATGAAAGTATTTAATAAGCATGAGACTAAACATTAGCATACTCCCATGATCCTATGGGTAGGGGATAAAGTTTGAGACCAGCTTGGGCTAATTCTTTCTTGGTGGTGATAATGGTTATGATTTTTAGTTTAGGTTTTTTGTTTTTTAAGAAATATGAACATTGTTTTTCAGAGGAGTAGAAGTAGCTTAGAGGGAGAAGACATGAATTTAAAGTACAAATTGGACTTAGAAAACAAAGTAATGCCATTGGATTAAAGAAGACACCCATTTCTCTCTGGGATAAGCATTGGGCTAGCTTCCTTGGACTCTAAAATCACTTGGAAATTCATCTCCATCAGCCTTTCTGTTTCTTTTCTATTTTAGGGCATGCGACTCTTTATAAATTTCTAGGATAGGAACATTCTCCATACTATCCAGTGAATGTTTACATTTTTATTTAGATTTGTTTCCTATTATCAGGTTACATCATTTTCTGGATAGCTCTAATACCTCACAAAAACAACCCGAGAAAAGAAGGGTTTATTTGGGCTTACAGTACAGGGTACAGTCCATCAAGGCAGCAGGAGCTTGGGGTCACATTGCATCTGCAGTCAGGAGGCAGAGATCAGTGAGTGCTGACTTCTAGCTCACTTTCTTTTTTATTCAGTCTAGAACCCAGCCCATAGAATGGTGTCATCTACAGTTAAAATGGGTCTTCTTGCCTTAATTAATAGATGATCCCTGGCAGGTGTGCCCAGAGGCTTGCCTTCTAAGTAATTGATTCTAAGTCATGAAACCTGACTTTATTAACTATAACAGTACCTCTAATAGCAGAATGGACAATGTTAAAATGGAAAGGTTAAAAGGATCTTTGGTAACTACCACATGTGGGAACAGCTGGTTCACAGTAGAAGCATCACCCCCCAGATCATGTTTCAAACCCACTGAAACACTGCTTTGGGACTGGAACCTCATTCATCAAATCTAGCAAGTATGTCTCATACGCTCGGGAAAGCTTTGCTAGTTCAGTGGCTCCCTTTTGGATAAACCACTAATAGGACCTATGGACATCAGTTATCCCTGTTCTTAAAGCAGAAGTAGTTTAACATATCTTTACTAATGCTGATATTCTTTTCTTGTGACTCTTTAAGCATTGTGATCTGTTGTCTGTTTTATTCCCCTAAATTCTCTATATAATATTCAAGAATATTTGGGGTATTTTGGTTGAGCTAGACTTACTCATCTAAACCACAGGAAAATAATTTTAGTAATTATTTTAGTTCTCCAAGGATGTTATATAACCATCAACATTTTGTTAGTTCATTATTTATAATGCAGAAAAAGTCATTTATCTTATATGTGATTCCTTGGCTACTAGATCACCTTGAAACTTGGCAGGAATGCAAATTTACAACCCCATACACTGACTTAAAATTTGGAGATGGACCAGTGTGTGTCAAAATTGAGAATCCTTGGTTTACAGTATCACTTCTCAGACCAGTTGTAGATAGTGGTCTTACTAAAATGTACATTCTCTGTGGGATTTTTATTTGTTGTTTGTTAAAAAGTCTTAGCATGGAATCCAGGCTGGCTTTGAACTCAATCCTCCTGCCTTCGTCTTCCATTGCTGAGATGATAGGTATATACTACCTCACCTGGCTTAAAATGCAGATTCTGACTTTAGATATGGATTTGGAACTCTTGAGTTTTTCCTCTCGGTGCTACTGTGACCTAGTGTGCTATTACATGTGTTTACCACCAAATGGAAGTTAACAATGAGATTCTTTGAAGTTACAATATCAATATATAAATAGTAAATTTTACTCCCTTTCAAAAAAAGTAGAAGATATAAGCATCCATGAGAGGACCAGAAGAATTCTCAGTAAATGAGAAGCTGAAATATGAATAGTTTCTGAAATAACTTAGTTAATGAAATAAGAAAATAAGGCAGGCATTTGAAATTTCTGTTAAACTGTGTTAAAACAAGACATGTGCTGTGCTCAATCCCACAGAAACTGTGTACTGTTCAGAGTGTCAACTGTAGAGACGTAGAAGGACGGCAGTCAACACCACTCCATTTTGCAGCTGGATACAACCGAGTGTCTGTGGTGGAGTATCTGCTGCAGCATGGAGCTGATGTGCATGCTAAAGATAAAGGGTGAGAAACAGCTGCCTGACTCTGCCTTGCCTTTATATGCCCTTTTGGGAAAATACAAGACTTTTAAGATAAATGATAAAATGCTCCATTTTATAATATCTAATTTGTTTTCTTGTATGGGTACAATGATAACTTACTAGCTTCAGTTACAGCTTTTATGCTGAGCATAGTGGTGCACACCTGGACCCCAGGCACTGGAGAAGTTGAGGCAGGTGGCAGATCACCATTATGAAACCCTTTCTTTTAAAAACAAAATGTAAATGGCTCAAATTTACATTATTATTAACTTGTATAAAGTCTTATCATTTTATAATTGCCAGCGATTTCATTTTTGTGATTTTGATACCGATATTAATGTATTAAAGTTTTTAGTGTTCATGAGGATATTTGAAATTTTTTTGATAATCTTGAACTTGTTTTTGTTAAAAAAAAAAAAAACACAGTGTTAGATGTTGAGTCTGTATGTGAATGTTTCTCATATTCCCTACATTTAAGATCTTTCTCTGCTTTCCATAGATTGAAGTTCTTTAGAATATAACCAGTACACTCCCTTAGGCAGTTCAAGAAATGTCTTTCATTGGTTATATATAATTACTGAGATTAAACTGTGCTTTCCACCATTACTGCTTATTTAACTTTTCAGAGGCCTCGTGCCCTTGCACAATGCATGTTCTTATGGACACTATGAAGTTGCAGAACTTCTTGTCAAGCATGGAGCAGTAGTTAATGTAGCCGACTTGTGGAAGTTCACACCTTTACATGAAGCTGCAGCAAAAGGAAAATATGAAATATGCAAACTTCTGCTCCAGGTATGCCTAAGTACTTGCTATGGACAGTGTGAATTACCTAAAATGCTCAGATTATCTTTCTAATAACACTAGTATAAAGTTTAAACTAATGAAAGTAGGGGGGAAGTTACCTAATGCTGAGACAAAATTTCAAAGGAAATATCATGAGCAATTTATTTTTTGAGTCTACATCTATATTGCCAGTTTAGGGTTTTGTTTTTATCTTATAGCCACCTACCATATGGTAGTTCTGGTTGCTATCAGACTTTCCTATTTGGTGATTTAATCTCAAATTACTTGACTCATCATGTGATTTATAAGCCAGATTTGTTTAACAGTCTATGAAATTGATGGTGCTGGTCTACTATAGATACACTTTGCTGTAAATATTACAGCATAGATTCATTCATACAGTGTTTGTAAAAAGGAAAGATGCAGGCTAGAGAAGTGGCTCAGCATTTAAGAACACTGGTTGCTCTTCCAGAGGACCTGGGTTCAATTCCCAGCACCTACATGGCTATTACACAGAGAAATCCTGTCTCAAATGGAAAAATGCAGTCATGCAATGTGTAACAATTCAGTCAGTGAAGGGCTGGCTACATTTTTGACAGTGGTCCCATAAAATTATAATGTAAGGACTATGGATCTCAGTTGGTAGAGTACCTATCTAGCATGCACCCGGCTCTGGGATTTATACCAAGCACCACATGGACAGTGGTACATACTTATATTCTCATTATGTAAGAAGAAACAGACAGGAAGATCAGCGGTCAAGGCCAGCTTCAACTACAGAATAAATTTCAGAAGACCAACCTGTGTTGCATAAGACTATCTAAAATAATAATAATTTTAAAATTATAGCTGAAAACTTACTGTAGTTTTTCTGTTCTTAGATAATATACTTACGAATGTATTATAGAGTTGCCTTATGGTGTTTAAGCAGTAATAACAATCAGGTTAGATTCAGTATGAAATGATTTTCTTGCTGTGGTTATTTTCTCATTGACAAAATACACCACCCCCCTTTTTTCTCATGACTAGCATGGTGCAGACCCTACAAAGAAAAATCGAGATGGTAATACTCCTCTGGACCTTGTTAAAGATGGAGACACAGATATCCAAGATCTACTTAGAGGTGATGCAGCTTTGCTAGATGCTGCCAAGAAGGGTTGTTTAGCCAGAGTGAAGAAATTGTCTTCTCCTGATAATGTAAATTGCCGTGATACCCAAGGTCGACATTCTACACCTTTACATTTGGCAGGTAATGAGTGAATCTAGATTTAACCCGGTGACATCTAAGGTTATTTTATTTGCATCATGTGGGTTCCAGGGATTAAACTCATGTTGTTAGGCTTGGCAGCTGTGCCTTTCCCTGAGGAGCTCTCTTACCAGCCCTAAGATTCATTTTTACTCTTGAGTAAAGTATTTCCTCTAAACTTGAAAGGTGCAAGTCAAATTATCTGCCAGAGCTTTCATCCTATCCTACCTAGTATGTGTGTTTGTACAGAGCTGTTGTGTTTATACATGAAGCTGTTAGCCAAATTTCACTTTCTCAGGCAATGATTTACATTCAGTAAGAAGAGTTGCCAAGTGTAGTCTACATAGTGAGTTCCAGGACAGCCAGAGCTACATAGTGAGACCAGTAAGAGCAGCTGAAATAGGCTCTACCAATCACTCTAAACTTTGGAATACTTTCTTTGAGGTCACTACATTGATTCATGTTTGAACAGAGTTATGAAAAATTTGCCTGTATAAACCAGCCTTCTTCATAGAAGACTGAAGTTTTCATTTTCTAGTGATAGCTAAGTGTAAGCTAAAAAAAAAAAAAAAATCATTGTCTTCCACCATGTAGGTTCTGAGGATCAAACTTATTAGGCTTGTCAACAAGTACCTTTACCCACTGAGCAATTTCATCAGCCCAACTTTTATATCTAAGTGTATGGGTGTATAGCCTATCTTTCTTAGGACCACCAGCTCCCAAATAATGACCGGAAGACTTACTACTTAATTATGAAAGCTTGGCCTTACCTTGGGCTTGTTTCCAACTAGCTCTTATAACTTAAGTTAACCCATTTATGTTACTCTACAGTCTTGTTAATTCTCCTTCATGGTGTATTTCGACTCCCATCCCCACTTCACACCCCTACTGCCTCTTGCTTATGAACCGAGACCTGAGTTCCTATCTCTGCCTGGAAGTCCTGCCTAGATATTAGCCATTCAGCTCTTTATTAAACCAATCAGAAGGTGCCTTGGCAGAAACTCATCTTCACAATGTATAAAAAGATTATCCCACAACATGGGTGTTTTGCCTACACGGATGTCTATGTACCACATATTTGCCTGATACCTGTGGAGGTCAGAATAGGGCATTGGATCCCCTAGAACTAGAGTTAGTTACAAATGCTTATGAACTACCTTGTGGATACTGGGAACCAAATCTAGGTCCTCTGCAAGAACAAATGCTCTTAACTGCTGAACCATTTCCCCAGCCCCTTATCTAGAATATTTGACATTATTAGGGTTGTTTTGTTTTAAGATTTCTTCATTTTATGTATGAGTGCTCTATCAACTTTATGCTAAAAGATGACATCAAACCCACTATAGATTATTATGAGCCACCATGTGTTGCTGATAATTGAGCTCAGTACCTCTAAAAGAGCAACTAGTTCTCTTAATAGCTGAGCTATCTCTCTAGCCCTTGACATTACTATTTTAAGTTCACATTATCTTTGTAAGTTGCAAATACAAATACATTGTTGGTTTGTTTTTTGAGACAGGGTTTCTCTGTGTAGCCCTGGCTGTCTTGGAACTATCTCTGTAGACCAGGCTAACCTTGAACTCAGAACCCACCTGCCTCTGCTTCCTGAGCGCTTGGATTTAAAGTGTATGCCACCACTGCCTGGAGTTGCAAATATATTTTAAACACAAAATGTGTCTACTCATTTCTAATAGTGTTAATACTAAACCTGGGCTGTGAAGAAACTCGGTCGTGAAATGTTTGCCATGCAAGCATGAGAACTTGAGTCCATACAAGTCACTGATCTGGCACAAGGCCTCTGGTTTCTGCCACACCACCCATAATGGGCTCTCACTGGGGCTCTTCTTAGATATTCTATTGTTGTCCTGTGTCATAGAGATCCTGCTGTTTTGGAGATAAGGAACTTTTAAATGGGTAGATGAAAATCTTTCTGTAATTTGCTGGGTCTCCAAAACCAATGACTGACAATACCAAAAGCTGACATTTTATCAATGGGGTATTTCTTTCCCATGAGATAAAATACTAATAATTTCATTTACATAAAATTTAGTGATATCTATTTAAAAATATATAGCGATATGGGTGACACATGATTTTTCTACATTTATAACTAAGAGTGATGTTACTTCTTTCCTGATTAGCTGGTTACAATAATTTGGAAGTTGCGGAGTATTTATTGCAACATGGAGCTGATGTGAATGCCCAAGACAAAGGAGGACTCATCCCTTTACATAATGCAGCATCTTATGGGGTAAGTTCTTCTCTGTGTTACTTTAAAAATTCATGTGATTTTTCAAAGTGGATATCACTGTCATAGTTTACATGGAATTCAGTGTGACTTTTTTCACAAAGAACTAAATAAGAAGTTAAATAATGGAAGTTTTAGTTATGTTACAGGCATGTTGTGTGACAAGCCAATATATTTGTCATTTGTTCTAATATCCTTGGCACCTGTCTCTTATTTTTGATGAAATACTAATTTGTGTATGTGTGTCCAGAAAATCTATAGGTTTCACAGGAATCTTTATAGAGATTCGGATACATTGTTACAAACCTCCAACAACCCTGAAGATTCTGGTCAGCATTGGCCATTGTCAGTGGTCTAGTTAGAATAACTGAGGAAGGCTGCTAGTTTTTAAATTTATATTTACCAGTTATAATACAAGAATTAGTTAGAAAGCATTAAGTTGTTTTAGTTTATTTTCCTATGTCAGATTCTGAACTGTAATTCTTAAGCAACTACCCATAAGTTATAATGCTGAGAAGAAATAGCTTTACTTTATATTTCCAGGATGAGTTTGAAACCAGTAGGTACAGAACCAGGTTTTGTTTTCTTTTGAGACAGGACCTTTCTACATAGCACTGGCTGTCCTAGAATTCACTATGTAGATCAGGTTGGCCTCGAACTCACAGAGGTCTACCTGTCTCTGCCTCCCGAGTGCTGGATCAAAGGCATGTGGTTCCACGCCCAGCTCAGAACCAAGTTCTTAAAAAGTAAAGTACCATAAAACATTTCCAACTGTAACAGGAATATTTTCTTTTACAGCATGTAGACGTAGCAGCTTTACTGATAAAGTACAATGCGTGTGTCAATGCCACGGACAAATGGGCTTTCACACCGTTACATGAAGCAGCCCAAAAGGGACGGACACAGCTTTGTGCTTTATTGTTGGCCCATGGAGCTGATCCTACTCTTAAAAATCAAGAAGGACAAACACCTTTAGATTTAGTTTCAGTAAGTGATGGGCTCTTTGAAAACTCAGAAAGTTCACATGACATGCATAAAATGTCTGCATAGTGAATATGGTTTTGGCCCAGATTTAAATTTAGGAATCCTTTGGTGTTGGGATAAGTAGATAAGTTATTAGTCAGTTACTATATATTAAGTACTTTGGATATGTGGAAAAGAACATAGTTGGGGGGAACAACAGGCCTGGGCCCTCTGTAAATACTGTTGTAGTGCATGGTATTATAGACTGAAGAGCATACCAACTCACCAGTTAGATATATCACCCTCCAAAACCTGCTTCTAGCAGGGATCCTTTGTCCTTCCTCACTGCTTCTTCCTCATGTTATTAAGCAATAACAAGAGCTGTCTATGGGAGAGCCAGCTAGATGGTGCAGCTTGTAAAGGCGCTTGCTGTCAGACCTAACAGCCTGAGTTTAATCCCAGGACCCACCTGGTAGAAGAGAGAACTGCCTCCCACAAACTGTCTTCTGACCTCCACATGTACAGACAAGCACCCATACACATACATGCACACAAAATAAAATGAGTGCTTAAATTTTTTTTAAGGTTTATAAACTGAGCTTTTTCCTTCTCTTTCCATAGCCAGTCATATAATAGCCTCCTTTGTAGCTCCCAAATCTGTGTCAGTCACCAGAACAGGAATACTTCCTTACCTTTGCCACTGAGATCATTTACCAGAGCAGTAAAATAGAAAGAAGGAAAGTTTTGACCTCCTGGGATCTTTAAGACAGGACTTAGTATATAGTTTATAGTCTTGGCTGGCCTGGAACTTAGTGTTTATCAGGCTAGCCTGGAAGTTTTGTTTGTTGTTTTGTTTTTCTTTCTTTTAAAGATTCATTTTTATGCAAATGTCTGTATGCGTTTATGATCCTCTGGGACTGGAGTAACAGGAGGTTGTAAAGCACTTGGTGTGGGTGCCTGGAAACCAAATCTGAGTCCTCTGAAAAAAAGCAAGTGTTCTTAACTACTGAGCCAATCTTTTGCCTGCCTCCCTAAGCGTTCTGGGAATACAGGCATGTGCCACCACACAATGTAAGAAATATTTTGAAATGGGAAAGAAAGTGTCTTCTATGGAGAGAGTTTATTCCAACTGATCCACCAAGAAACTATGTGACTGCATTCAGGTTTAAAGAGATGTACCCCTCCGTAGGTTAACTACCAAACCATATTTGTGCAAGGATTTCTTGGAAATATATCTCTGGTTCCAAGCTAATTAAGAAGTAAACATTTAGAATTCATTCCTCCCAAACATTGATTCACCAAATACAACTAATGGCAAGGAAAAGAAAAGGCCCCAGAGAATGCATAAGGCCTAGGGAGATGAACCACTGAGTAAAGCACTTGTTACACACGCCTCCAGAACCAACATAAGATCTGGATACATGTTTGAACACATGTGAGAGATAGGAGTTCCCTAGAAACCCAAGGGTCAGCTAGCCTGGCATCTCAGTGCTGATGAGACCACCTCAAACACGGTCAAAAGTGAGGACTAATGCCCAAGGGTCCTAATCTCCACATGCAGGGATTTATACACTTATACACACATACAAATTATACACATACTCCAAAAATAAAATTCTAAAGATGGTTTCTGAGAGAGTGAAAGCATGCTTAGCTTTAGACTGAAATACGCCCAATCTACTGTTCCAGCTCTCCACTTAAAATTACAGTCTTGCTCTTAGCCTAGTTATCCTATACAGTTTAGAAGCATCATCTATAAGGGATAAAATATATCTGGTTAATGGAATCAATCATTATAATGCTATCTAAAGCCTTTAGGTAGTTTTAGTACCAAAATGTACCCAATAAATGGTCTTTTTTATAGATAAATACTATATACAAACTATAAGGTCAAGAGATGCACAAATTGAAGAAGAAGAAAAAGGTAAGGGTGTGGACATTATAAATGATTAACCAAGAAAGTATCCCTGTTGATGATTACTTAGCATCTTTTTATATATTATTTTTTAATTGTTTGTTGAGGAGAGGAGGCTCAAATGTGCTTCAGTATACCTATAGAAGTCAAAGGATAACTTGTGGGAGTCCATTCTCTCATTACACCTTGTGGTTAGCAGGAATCAAACTCGGGTCATGAGGCTTACTGGCAGCTACCTTCCCACTGGGCCATCTCTCCAGCCCATTACTTAATTATTTGAACATGGTAAATGTATATGATCAGTGAAGTGGATATAGCACTAAATTTAGAGACTTTTCCTTCCTAACAGTTTGATTAAATTATCTTTTATAAAAAACAAACAAGGTTTTCTCAGTTTTGAATAATAAATCATTGTTTTCTAAAAACTGTAAGTGGTTCTGTTTGCTTAAGTTCTGTTGAAATGCTAATGTCAGAGTTAATTGTAATAGGGTTGAAAGTTCTTTTTGCAAATAGTTCTGAATTAATTTCAGTGCCTTTTAGTTTGGATGTCAAAATTAGAATTTTATTCATCGTCCATACTTTGCAGCATTTAGCAGTTTTTTATTTGTATGTTTAATTACATGTGACCTGGAAGGATGTTCTGAATTATGTTTTATATTTAGTGACAATTTAGTTAGCTGGGTATCAGCCTGTTTGTTTCACTCTTAACGTTTTCTAGTATTTCTCAGTGTTGTATAATAACAGATCCAATGGGAGTTTTCTAGGTTTGTTCTATTTTTATTGCATCTTATTAGACATAGGAGAATTGTAAACCTTGTTTATGACAGATTTCACTTCCTTGAAATGTGTTCTAGGCAGATGACGTCAGCGCTCTCTTGACAGCAGCCATGCCCCCCTCTGCTCTACCTTCCTGCTATAAACCTCAAGTGCTCAATGGTGTGAGAAACCCTGGGGCCACCGCAGATGCTCTGTCTTCAGGGCCATCCAGCCCTTCAAGCCTTTCTGCCGCCAGCAGTCTTGACAACTTGTCTGGGAGTTTTTCTGAACTGTCCTCAGTAGTTAGTTCAAGTACAACAGAAGGTGCTGCCAGTTTGGAAAGAAAAGAAGGTGAGAAATTCCGTAAAAATTATAACTCATATTGTAGCTCCATGTTTGTCATTTAGAATGATAGGAAATTAAATCTTAAATGTAACTCTTCATATGAAATAAATTAAAATATCCAGAGAGTATTCACATGTAATTTTCTTCTACTAGTAATATAAATAGAATTCCTGTAGAAACTCCATTCAAGTCGAAAGTTGCTGAACATGGTACTACTAACCTATTTGTTTGTTTATTGTTTGCTGTTATGTGTGTGTACAAACTCATGCCATGATGTATGTGTGTGGAGATCAGAGAACAACTTTAAAAAGGTTTTTTTCCTTCCCCTTTAAGTGGGTTCCAGGGATTGAACTTAGGTTGCCATGTTTGCACAGCAGATACCTTTACCCACTAAGCCATCTCCCCAGCCCTGACCCATCCTTTAGATGTCGATTTTTACTAGTCAAATTCATCTCACTGTGTAAACATCATAAAACATTTCTTCATAAATTTTGTTGTAAAGGAACCTGAACGAAGGCTGATTCTCTGACCACCACCACCCACCCCACCCCCGAGACAGAGTTTCTCTGTGTAGCTTTTGGAGCCTGTCCTGGAACTCCCTCTATAGATCCTTCTGCCTCTGCCTCCTGAGTACTGGGATTAAAGGCATGTGCCTGCCTGGCAGAAGGCTGATTTATTTATTTATTCATTCATATATAAGTATATGAATGAAAGGCTAAAAGTAAAATTTAAAATGATAATAAAATGAAAAATGTTTAAACTTGAGAAAGCTTTTATATTTACAGTGTTGCTGTATATTATTCTGATGTGAAATGTTGTTCTGGACTTTTTCTTCCAGATCCAGGAGTGGATTTTAGTATAACTCAGTTCATAAGGAATCTTGGGCTTGAGCACTTAATGGATATATTTGAGCGAGAACAAGTGAGTAACTGGATTATATTGTTTGGTTTAGTATTTCATAGAAACTCAAGAAAATCTGGGAAATGCTTGAAAGTACTTAAACCTATTATTTATTTCAATTACTACCCACTCTTAAGCCTGACATTCTGCTACCTACAATGGACAGAAATATGAATGTGCCAGTCATGTATTTGAGCTTTTCTGAATATCCCAGTTTAAAGTATTCCATCAGCATACATGTAGCTATCCTTTTTAAGATTTACTTATTGTGTATTAGTGTTTTGCCTGAATGCGTGTATACCACATGCAGATGGTATACCTGCTGGTGCCCATGGAGGTCAGAAGAGGGTGTCAGATCCCCTGGAACTGGAATTATGGGTGGTTGAAAGCCACCCTGTGGTTACTGGAAACTGAAAGAGCAGCGAGTACTCTAAACGAGCTGTCTCTCTAGCTCCTGCATGTACTTATTTTGTTGTCATTGCTGTTGTGATTGTTGAGGAATATAATGATTGTAGACTTGAACCTGCAGTCTAGTTATGGAGGTGGGACAAAACATGGAAAGGTACAGTCTGACAAAGATTTTAGTAAATTTAAAGAAGGAAAAGATTACTGTTAGCTACACTTATTAGGAGTGGCTTTGTAGAAGTCGTATAAATGAAACAGGATTGATGGCTTCAATTTCATGAAGCAGGAATGATTTATTTTAGGTAAGAGTTTGAACAGTGATGTAGAGGTACCAGTTAAGTAGTCCACACCCTGAAGGAACCGTGCAGGGCACTGTGTAAAGGCTTAGATATGAAGCAATAGTGAGAAGGTACAGTGGAGAGATGAAATTTAAAAGGACATTTATGATTCAACATGTTTAGCTCCAACTTTTTAAATTCAACAAATGATTTGTTTTCCTATTAAAACTATTCAAAATAATAAGAAATGGATCTGTCAAGGTAGTTTGGTTCCTAACAACTCTAGTTGTGCCCTCTTGTGGCTGCCAAAGGCAATACATGCACAAACAAAAAACATTCATATACATAAAATACCTAGCTTAGTAAAATGTGAAATAAATGAGAATATAAGTGTCTACCGAATGAGCAAGCATTCTGAGTATTTTGTTCTTTTTCATAAGATCACCTTGGATGTGCTAGTTGAGATGGGGCACAAGGAGCTGAAAGAGATTGGGATCAATGCTTACGGACATCGGCACAAGCTAATTAAAGGGGTTGAAAGACTGATCTCTGGACAGCAAGGTATTTCATTTTGTTACTTGGTTGACCGCTGCTTATATGAAGGTACCCTCAGTCTAACACTTAAGAAGTCTGTGACAGGCTCTTTTTAGTAAGGAGACCATTAATAGGGTTTTGAACACAGATAAGGACTCTACTGATAGTTTGAACTTCCTGACTACTAATGTTAATTATATGACCCAAAGTAAAATTTCTTGGCCTGTGCAGAAATTTAGGATTATTTTAGTTCCTGAAAAATGGGAAGGTATAACAAATGAAGTATTCTAGCTGTGAAGTGTTATAATTTTAAAAGGTCCAGACCATGGGTATGTCTTTCTTAGGTTAACATGCTATGTAATGATTAGGTATTCACAGCCAATAAGATGCATAATGTTTTGGGGCCTGGAGAGATGGCTCAGTGGTTTAGAGCACTGACTTCTCTTCCAGAGGACCCAGGTTTGTTTTCTAGCACCCACATGGCAGCTCACAACTGTCTATAACTCCAGTTCCAGAGGATCTGGCACTCTCACACAGATGTATATTCAGTACACACAAAATAAAATTTTTTAAAGGCATAATTTTCATAATGTTTTAGCTGAAGAAAAATATAAATTGCATTCACTCAACAGATGTTAGCATGTGTGTGTACCAGAGCTAGGTAAAAAAATGTGAATTATTTAAGAGTCAAAAACACATTTTTAACTTTACCATTAAATTGAAATGGTGATTTATCCCTGATGCTCACACATTACTGACAGGGGCATAAGCTAGTGCAGTTACTGTGGATAGTAGTAAAACTAAATAAAACCATGACCTCTGGGCATATAAAAGGACTCTACACCAGCATACCACAGAGATAGTTGCATACCCATCTTTATAGCTACATAATTCACAAGAATTAGGAGGGAATGGAGCCAGTTTAAGGTGTCCATCATCAGATGAATGTATATAAAATGTGGTACATGTACATAATTCTCTTCAGCTGTAGTGAATTCAATTAGGACATTGGCAGTAAACTAGCTCTCCCTGAAGGTCATTATATTAGATGAGAATAAGCCAGACTTGGATAAATAGGACTTGTTTTCTCTCATGTGGAACCCAGATTTAAATGTGTGCATGGAAGTAGGGAGGGGATAGAATATGTGCTGTATAAAACAGAAAGGGAGCTGGGAGGTGGTGGACACACCTTTGATCCCATTTGGATTTGGAGGACAGAGTCTGGTGGGTCTCTGAGTTTGAGGCCATTCTAGTGTACAGAGTGAATTCTAGGGCAGTCGGGGCTACATAGAAAAACCCTGTCTTTAAAAAAAAAAAAGAGTGAAGTAGAAAGAAAGCAAGGGAGAACAGGAAAGACCAGTAAGAAGAGGAGCAGAGTCAATATGGGGTGAGGACAGTAAGGATGGAGTATAATAATGCATGTTTATGAGGGGCCAGAATGGAAACTGTCACTTGTTTATCAATCAAAAGAAGAAATTTTTAAATATCTTAAAGTAAAAGCTATACAACTAGGATTGAAGAACAATGTCTATTTACAAAAATGAATAGGATTTTCAGAGGGGGGAAAATATGTGCTGGCCAGGATGAGATTTGATATTTTGATTTTTTTTATGTATGTGTGAGCACCACCTGCATTCAATACCGAAGGAAGCCAGAAGAGGGTGCCAGACACAGTTGTCAGCCATTGCCTTGTGGGTTCTGGGAACCAGATCCTGGGTTCCAGTGGCCAGTGCTCTTACCCACAAACCAGCTCTCCAGCACTTGTGTCCACTTCTTGAAGAAGAAAAAACAAAGAACACTCAAAGTTGAGGGATTGACACAAAGAAATCCTTTAAACTTGGAGAAATTGGGGCTCAGTATTTAAAATACGAGGTTAGTCTAGGCTGTGACTAGTACAATGACAAAATTTTGAAATGGAAAACCCACAACTCCCTTATGTGCATAGTCCCAGCACTTAGAGGAGACAGGTAGGAGGATCTGTGCATTTACACAGCCTAATCTGCACAATAAGTTTCAGGACTACATAGAGAGACCTTGTCTCAAACAAAAGAATAAGACAACTGCTAAACTAACCATGGTAGCAGCTGTGATAGGATACTGGGGTATCTATCTGTGTGACAGCAGTTGTGATAGATATGTGGTTTTAGGAAAGCTGAGTAAAAACAAAGAGCAGTAGTGTTTGTACAGGTAGATGTGTCTTAATTGTTGACACTCCATTTCCAAGGCTCAGGAAGTACATCTATTGTCTCCAGGTAGCAGAAGAAAGTTAGGACTTACTGTCACTAGGACATGTCCACAGTAGTTGAATGGGAGCCTTTTTTTATTTTTCCATGGTGGAGAAACTTGTCTTAAGGCACAATAGCTGGTCTTGTCTAACGTCAGAGTCACTGTTCTTCATAAAAGTTGCCATCTTGCAAAACTGAATTGGTTGCTGCTTATAAGGTCCTCCGACAGTCTGCTCTTGGTAACTGAAAGCCTTTTCTGACCTTTCAGTGCTGGGTTATAGGTCACTAAATCACATTTTTGTCATAGTCTTGGAGAAAGGGTGCTTTTTCCGTTTGGGGGGATCTGATTGTTGATTGTTGACTTCCATGGGGATTGCTTTTTGTTTTGTATTGTGTTTTTTTGTTTGTTTGTTGTTTGTTTTTTGTTTTTTGTTTTTTGTTTTTTTTTTTTGAGGCAGAGTTTCATTAGACTGGCCCCAAACTCAAGGAATCCTCTTACCTTACCTCCCTGCTTGCTGAGACTACAAGGGTGTGTCACTGTGCCCAGCCATCATAGTATTCTGTGGAATAGTCTTCATATGGGCCCCAATCTTGTACAGACATAATTAAGTCTCTGCAGTCTGCCTTGACAAGGATCTAGAGAGATGACTCAACACTGACTGCCCCTCCAAAGGACCTGTGTTCAGTTCCCAGCACTGGCATAGTAGTGGCTCACAACGGTCTGTATGTAACTCCATCCACTTCAAGAGATCCAGCACCCTTTTCCTCTGCAGATACCAAGCATGACATGGTGCACAGACATACATGAAGGCGAAAGACTCATACATATAGAAAACTTTAAAATAAAAATAGAAGGCATGACAATTGTAGAAGTAAAGAATCTATTTTTAATCAGTCAGCAAATTTTATGAACTTATAGGATGTTTTTTAGTTGCCTGAGGCTGTTTAAGTCTCCATCATAATTCTTCGTTGTAGTTACAGGAAGTGGAATGATTACTTTATTAAAATAAAAGGTTGAATAGTTACTAAAGGAAATAATTTGAAAAAGAAAGTATGTCTATAAGCTCATTAGCAATAAAAGGAAAAGGGGATTTTCATAAATAGTCCCTAAAACCACTATAACCTGTCAGGTTAAAAAATAGTTACTTAAGGGGGCTGGAGAAATAGCGCAGGGATTGAGAGCACTAGCTGCTTTTCTAGAGAACCTAGGTTCAATTCCCAGCACCTACATGGCAGCTCAAAACTGTCTGTAATTTCAGTTCCAGGGAACCTGATACCATCACACAGACATCACACACAAGACCAATGCAAATGAAAATAAATAAATCTCTTTAAAAAAAAAAAAAAAATAGTTACTTAGGACATGGTGGCGTACAGCTTTAATCCCAGAGCTCAGGAGGCAGAGGCAGGCCAACCTGGTCTACAAAGTGAGTTCCAGGACAGCATAAAACAAGTTATTTGAGGGGCTGGAGACTTGGCACAGCAGGTAAGAGTGATGTACTGATTTTGCAGATGAGGATTCAGGTCCCAGTACCCACATAGCTACTTGCTTGCAGCTCTCCATATTCCTAGCTCCAGCAAGTCCTTTTCACATGGTGCATATACATGCATGCAGACAAACATACACACAAAATAAAATGAGTCTTAAAATGTAAGACCCTCAGAATGAGGAGTCTCCCAGTTTCAGTCGGTAGCCCCAAGAACTCAATGTTTAGTCCAGTTGCTGCAACACACAAGAGCTTTAATGAACTAGAAACGTTTGCACAAACGGGCTCCTCCAGCATGCAGGCTAGAGAGAAGCAGGCAGGAAGGCGATACCCTCCCCTTCTCCCCCCCACCCCCAGCCACAGGTGTTTTTAAAGGCAAACCCACAAGGGGGTGGGACCCTCTGTCCATTGAGTATGTGACCCTTTGAGGCCCATGGTCTCCTTATTAGGGTCAACAGACCTTAGGGCCTCAGGGTGTGCTAATTAATCTTGTCTGGGCAAACTGGAGGTACAGTTATCTCTTTGTTTCTTAAGGACCCTATTTACCACCTGCTGACTCACAGGAAAGGAGGGCAGTGTGAATTCTTGGTATCTTGTTATCTCAGGGCCTTGTGAGGGGAAGTTAGCAAATTCCAAGGAACAAATATTGGTCTGGGTTAGCTTTCCAAGTTAGTCTGTCTTTCAAGTGGGGGGTTTCTTTACTTTTTGGCTTTCAAAAATAGTGTGCAGAGGGAGCGCTGCTGTAGTGGCTCTGTGGTTAAAAGTACCTGTTGCCCAATTATGAGAACCAGAGTTCAGATCTGAGAACACACGTAGCAATAATAAGCTGGGCAGTTGTCTCTAACTCAGCTCAGAGGGATCTGACACTGACTTCTGTCCTGCGTACGTAGGCACATACACACACACTGAATATAATGTGCTGTTATGGTTTTGATCCTATAAAAGAAAAGGGACTTTCGTGGGAAAAACTAGTGCAGTCCAAATGAAGCCTGACAATTGTAGTATGTACCTGTCTGCACTTTCTGTGTTCCTATAAATCTAAATTATGAAATTAAAATTTGGGGGAATTGGTAGTGTCAAATAAATCATGTGAATGTTTTGGGTTGGTTGGGTTGGATTGTTTTATTGGCAATTTTTACTTCTAAATTTTATTTCATAGGTCTTAATCCATATTTAACTCTAAACAACTCTGGTAGTGGAACAATTCTCATAGATCTGTCTCCTGATGATAAAGAATTTCAATCTGTGGAGGAAGAGGTATGTTCATCACCCTTAAAAAATTGGATAATACGGATCTAACACTCACGTTGTTGATTTAGCTGCTATACTTGTTTGTTTTGGCATTCTGTCCCTCTTTTCATCCCCTGGAAAATGTGGAAGTATTTACAATACATTTGTTTTGTTCCCCCGCTCCTTTTTTCTTTCATTTTTAATTTTAATTTTTATGTTGCATGGGTGTTTCTCGCCTGCATGCATATATGTCTCTGTGAGGTCAGATCTTGGGAGTTACAGTTCTAAGATGCCATATGGGTCCTGAAAAAGCAGTCACTGCTCCTAACCAATCAGCCATTTCTTCAGCCCCCTACAGTGAATTTCTTAATTAACCTTAATTTTAGGTACTTGAATCACTAACTAGTTCAGTTAATGTGGAACCAGAATTCTGTTGGAGAAGGTCTCTGTCATTTGAAAATAATGCTAGTGTTCACTCCCTTTATGAAGGCAATTACAAATGAGGATTCTCAGTTCTCAACATGTAGATAGTACTTATCTGGGGAATTTTTGATTCTGACTTTTTTTTTTTTTTTTTTTTTAAAAGATTTCTTCAGTCCACTGAAATCTTTGAAGAGTTCTCCTTCTTCCTTTGTTGTTGTTTTTTTTTTGGGGTTTTTTTTTTGTTTGTTTGTTTTGTTTTGTTTTAAGCAAGGCAGCTTCATATTCTTGTAAAACAATATATAGCCTTAGCTTTCCTGGTTTTCACTCTCTAGACCAGGCTGGCCTCAAACTCAGAGATCCACCTACCATTCACTCCCCAGTGCTTGGATTAAAGGTGTATGCCACCACACCCCATTGAAGAGTCTTTACACACTGATGTGCATGTGCCGCATCTATTTGAATTAAGCACAGATACAAAATTGAGTGAAATTTAGTTCTAAAGCTCATACTCCCAATGAAATATGTATTGTGCTTTATTGGTCTAATATCAGCACAAACAGACTATTGTTTTGCTTTTATGTTTAACATATTTTGCATTCTGTTTTATTTTACATTATGTAATTTTTTTACCTATAAATATGTTTTCGGGATGTTTCTCTAGAACATAGTACTCATGGTAATCCTAACCCTCAAGAAACAGAGGCAGACAGATATCTGAGTTCAAGCTACACAGAGAAGCTTGTCTCAAAAGAAGAAAAAGATATATACTCACAAGTTTATAGAATTTATGTCCTTTCAAGAAAAATATTAAAACCTATCTTGAATTCTCAAAAAAAAATTGGATCAAATGAATCAAAACTATGTTTCACAGGTCAGAATAGCAAAACCTAATGCCTCTTTTAAATTTTTTTCATCAGATGCAAAGTACTGTCCGAGAGCACAGAGATGGAGGTCATGCAGGAGGCATCTTCAACAGATACAATATTCTCAAGGTAACAAATGAGGGAAAATAAAGTTTCCCAAGACCATTCATTACTTTCCACATCCCAAAGCCTTAAGTAGTTTTGATAAGAACATAGTGATCTGTCCAGCACAGTGCCCTTTGACATGGCTGCAGAGACTATTGAGGGGGAAGACCATGTCCTCCAAAACTTAAAATTCTCACCAGGCAGTAATGGCACAAGCCTTTTAATGTCAGCACTTAGAAGGCAGAGGCAGACTGATCTCTAGTCTGGTCTACAGAGCAAGTTCCATGGCAACCAGGGCTACACAGAGAAATCCTGTCTTGAAAAAAATGAATAAATATAAATTTAAAAACTTACTGAACAGTATCAGTATGCCCTGAACTGGATGCATCCTTTAGGCTAGTCAACACTAAAGCTTACTTGGGTTTACATGATTATATCTGCTGCAATCAGATTATTCAGGGAAGGGAGCACTTATGTAAGGTGGTGAAGCAGGAAACCAGGAGAAGCTGATTTATAAATTACTGTGTTCAAATTGAAAAACATGCTGTTTCCTCTTTTTTCTTAAAGGTCTTTCAGTACAATATTTAAGAGAGAGAGAGTCCAAATGCATGCTAAAATGATTCTATTTTGTTTTATACATGAATTGGTGCCAAGTGTGGTCCTTGATTACATCTATTACTAGTACTTTGGGGCTTGGTTTTTTTGTTTGTGTGTTTGTTTGTTTTTGGCCAATACTAAAACTGCAGCTCTGATGTGTGCACAGGAATGTGGAAATGTCCATTTGACCATAGAAATACTCCAGTAGGAACTGGGGGGGAAAAGTGGGGAGATGTGTGATGGGTAGCTATTTCAAATCTTGTTTATGTATTTTGAGTCTGGTAAAGTCAGGAGGGCAAGGTGCTATGCTCTTTATCTTCTCTACAAAATTTAGCATGTCTGAGGGATTTCAGAGCTGACTTTTATTTTTTGGTTTTTGGAGACAGGGTTTCTCTGTGTAGCCCTAGCTGTCCTGGTACTTGTTCTGTAGACCAGGCTGACCTTGAACTCACAGAGATCCACCTGCCTCTGCCTCCCAAGTGCTGGAATTAAAGGTGTGTACCACCACTGCTCATCTTAGTGATGATTTTCTTTTAAGTAATTTTAAAATAGAAGTATTTTATGCAATTTTCAAGTATTCTTGGCCTCTTCATGATTGTGTGTAGTCTTTTCCTCTTTGGAAAAAAAAAAAATTGTTACATGCATGTAAACTCACACAGACACACTGCATATATGCACAATCACACACGTGTGGAGGTCTAAGAACAACTTATGGGAATTGTTGTTGGGTTTTTTTTTTTTTTGTTTGTTTGTTTTGTTTTGTAAGATTAAAAGAATTATTTAAACTCCCTGGTTTTTAGATTCAAAAGGTTTGTAATAAGAAATTGTGGGAAAGATACACACACCGGAGAAAAGAAGTTTCTGAAGAAAACCATAACCATGCAAATGAAAGGATGTTATTTCATGGTAAGTTCTCACCCTGTCCTCCCTGTGAGATTGGAGTTTTCGGCGTCATTGTCTTTTTTTCTATGTAACCCTGGCTGTCTTAGGCCTCACTCTATAGACTAGGCTGGCCTCAAACTCACAGATTGCCTGCCAAGTGTAGTAAAGATAATATTTCTGTAAATTTTATATTTGTGTTCATATTTTTAGTTTCTTTTGTGATAATGTACCTTACAATTAACATTTTTTTAAAGATACATGCATTGTCTGTACCTTTTTTTATTTATTATGTGTACAGTGTTGTGCCTGCATATATGCCTGCAGAGTTAGGGTTAAGGTTAGAAGAGGGAACCAGATCTCATTACATACAGATGACTGTGAGCCACAATGTGCTTGCTTGGAATTGAACTCAGGACCTCTGGAAAAGCAGCCTGTGCTCTTAAACAAACAAATGAATTTAACATTCAGGGCTGGATGTGGCTCGGTGCTTGACTGGCATGCACAAAGCCCTGGGTTTAATCCTGCTTCCTTGGAAAAGTTAACTCACCAGAAGCATTTTGCTTTTTAAGTTGTTGTTGCCCATCTGCTTGTATTTTAGGATCTCCTTTTGTGAATGCAATTATCCATAAGGGCTTTGATGAAAGGCATGCATACATAGGTGGCATGTTTGGAGCTGGGATTTATTTTGCTGAAAACTCTTCCAAAAGCAATCAGTATGTGTATGGAATTGGAGGCGGCACTGGATGTCCAATTCACAAAGACAGATCTTGTTACATTTGCCACAGGTGAGCGATTCTTATTATTTGTCTTGGAAATAATTAAATGAGAATTAATCACAGATTTGAGAAACTTGGAGGGCAAGACATAGCTGACAGTGGAGGACCCATAAGTTAAAATAATAGCTAATATTTACTGAAGAATTTAAATGAGTTAGCATGCAGATAGTAAGCACTTAACCGGTTTAATTCAGTTTCTCATTGAATACTTGGTGCTTCATAAAGAATGCTGAGGAGAGCCGACAAGGCAGTGCACACCTCTTGCTCACCTATGTTGACAGATGATTTGGGAAGTGTAGGAGTTCAAGACTGCGTAGGCAGAATTAAGCCCTATCTCAAGCAGGAAAAAATAGTCAGACAAGTGGGACACATCTTTCATCTCAAATCCCTGGAGGCAGACAGAGGCAGGTGAATCACTGAGAAAACAAAAAGAGAGAAACCCTACAACTGCTGAACAAAAGGCAATGTCAAGCACTCCAGAGACTATTGTTAAAGCCTTTGAGTATTACAGGCCCGGAGATTCCAGAAGTCGTGTTATTGGGGACTGGGGCTATAATGAAATAGATAGCTCTTGCCTGATAGGAGTGAGGTTTTGGGTTTAATGTTTAATATCCGTCACCATACATACAGTACACACAAATACACAGTGCTTCTGGTTGTCTGGTTACTTATTTTATAGTAATTCCTGTAGGAGTTTCTTGTTCATTATAATATCCTAATCCTCAGTTTCTAACATTACATCCATAAGAGAGATAATTAAAATGATTTAATTCTCTTTAGAAAGTAATTACCAAATGCCTACTCTGCACATCCCCTCTTAGTTGTCTATTCTCAGTTCTTTAAATCATTTAGTTAACTTGGCCATAACTTATGAAATCTTTGAGGCACTTAAAGTATCTTCTGCCATTTGTAGGATCAAGTAACATTAGTCACTAAGATTTATTCCACAGCTAGGACCCTGATTTTTCAGGTTTGAGCAATATTATTCAAACCTTAGGATGTGACAGAATTACCTAGGTTTGTTAAGTTGCACACTGCTGAGTCTAGAGAGAAGGCACAGCAACAGCAGTAAAGAGATCTTGCTCTTGTAGAAGACCAATGTTTTAGTTCCTTTTGCCCACATGGTGGCTCACAACCATCTGTTACTCCCAATTCTGGGAGATATGACACCTTCTTCTGGCCCCCTTCAGCAGATACACATATAAGATACACATACATACATGCAGATAAATACCCATACACATAATATAAAAATCTTGAAAAACAAAACAAACAATCATACAGACCTCTAGGCCCCACCTCTTGCATTGCTGATATTTAGTGAGGCTGGAATGAGTGAGACTATAGCACTGGATTTTCCACCAAGTTCCTAGGTGATCCAGAGGTATGCTCAAGCAATACTTTCTGTCTTGGCACCACACTTAATCCCTGCACAGAAAGTCTTACTTTCCTGGTTTCCCTCTCTTACTCCCCCACCCTCCTCTCTTGCTCTCCTGCTCTCCCACCCTCCCTCACTGGTGGCCGTGGGGAGGAGTGGGAGAGTGACATGTCTCACTCTATCTATCCCAGGCTATCTTGGAACTCACTATGTAACACAGACTGGCTTCAAACCTCCTGCCTCAGCCTCCTGAGTACTAGTATTTACTAGGCCCATTTGTTTTATTCTTATTGCCATTATTTTTCTCCTAAGTTTAGATTTATGTATTATATTGGGAAGTCCCTTCTAAGTAAGTATAAATTATCACCATCTTTTTTGGGTCACAAATCTGTACTATTTAGGGGGCTACAGAATTTCAAATTCTGTAAATTAACTTGTCTTCTATGATTATGATTATTAGTAATAAGCAGTGTTTTCTGACTTTACCTAAGCTGTTGTTGGAACCTAGTATTTATTAGTTGTCTGGAAATAGTTACTAATATAACTTCATTGTTCTGGGTTTGTGCATTCAATCTATTTTCAGGGTAAATTTTTCCTTTTCATGTTGTAGGCAGTTGCTCTTTTGCCGAGTGACCCTAGGAAAGTCTTTCCTGCAGTTCAGTGCAATGAAAATGGCACATTCTCCTCCCGGCCATCACTCAGTCACTGGCCGGCCCAGTGTGAATGGCCTAGCGCTAGCTGAGTATGTGATTTACAGAGGAGAACAGGTACTCACTCCACTTGTATTTGTTTGTCTTCAACAGTATGTGGCTCTTACATGGTCAGGGCATGTTGCCTTAACTGGATTTGGAGAGGGGATAAAGGGGGTTCAGACTTAAAATGTTTGGCATAGATTTTCAAAATTAAAAAAGAACCATTGATATATCTATCTAACCTATTCAGAGTTTGTCAATTATTACTGGATATTTTTTCCTTTTCTGTGCAATATAGCAATGATGTTTACTTCTTTCTTGCCATCAGTGACAAAGAAAAGCTGGTCTAGAGCAGCATTCTAAGTCAGAGTTGGTGACAGAATTCCCTCAGTTACTGACAGCAGACAAACATGTACTTAATTCTCACCCTTACCTGCCTCTGATGAGAATCCAAAGGTTAAGTCAAGGTGGGAATATTTAGAGAAATGTCCCCAGGTAGTTCTGGTTTGCAGAACTCCTCAAGGTTTGGAATGTTTATGTAAGGACACCTTAACAAACAATAAAACACACCAACATTTGAACTAATTTTTCTTTTCCAGGCTTACCCTGAATATTTAATTACTTACCAGATTGTAAGGCCTGAAGGTATGGTTGATGGCTGAAACCAGTTCCACCAAACCTAACATCCCGAAGCAGCTAATGGCCTCTTAAGTTTCACTCCTTGGCTGGAAAAAAGTTCATCCTGACTACAGGCCTGTGGCAAAAAAGGATAAAAATGTGAAAGGAGCTTAATGTTCTGACTTGATAAAGCTTTAATAATGTACAGTGTTTCTAAGTATTTCCTGTTTTTCAGCACTTTAACAGATGCCATTCCAGGTTCAACTGGGTTTATCTGTACTAAATTATAAACAGTTAACTTGAATCTTTTATACATTGTGTATTGATTCTAACAAAAATGGTAATGCCCTCAACAAAACTCATTTTACTAATCAGGACTGTGTTCTTTAAAACACAGCATTTACACTGACTACAGTTCATTTGTAAAATGTAAATAAGAGCTTTTGTATTAGCCCAATATTTATTTACATTGCTTTGTACTATAAACTGTTGTAGAGCTACAGCGGTTACAGAGTATTTTCATATGTGTTGTTCATCTGTGTTTCATCTGTCATCACCTGAGTGATCGCTACATTTGATTCCAGAGGCTGCTCGGTTGCTGGTGGAGACTTAGTGGGGAAACATTGATTTATCAAATTCAGTTTGCTGATGGAAGCATTTCACTCTCATAATTTTCTCTTTTGAGAATTTCATTAATACTCTGGGAATTTAATTTGGGGTGCTTTTGTATCTACAAGGCACACATTGCATAGAGCTCTGGTGTGAAGATGTGAGGGCTGACGGCTAAAGAAGGGCCTCGGTGGCCTCAAACTCTGGTTCTGCCTCAGAAAGCTCTCTGATGTTATGGACATCTGAGTGAGCAAGCTCCCCAGGTTTTCAAGAGGCTTGACCCTGGCTTCTGAATACTCAGTGCTCTGATCATGGAATGTAAGAAGTGAAGTTTCAGACATGGGAAATTCAATCCTGGACAATTCTCCAATCAGTTCTAATTACCTTAAATCTAAAAAGGATGAATAGCAAGTGGGAGCGGGTGCTTTTTTTTTTTTTTTTTTTTTTTTTTTAAGTTTTTCATTATCTTATTATGCTTATATTTATAGCCAAGCCTATAAATATAAACACAACCCGGAACCATAAATGTGAGTATATCCGCCTGTGGGTAGCCTTTGGAATGCGCACACCCAGTGCTTCCTACTCCTGTCGAGACATTCTGCCCAGTTAGAAAGAAACACACCATCACAGGCCTATTTTCAGTATGGCAGCTATGGAAGAGATACTTTCATACAAGGCCACTCTGACTGTTCTCTAATGTAAACCCTGTACTTATCATCTGGCACAGAGGCCTACCTTCCTGCAGTACACTCAGGAGTCAAGGAGAGGATTTTACCCACCTAAGTCTTTGTACATGAGGACGTCCTCTTCGCTCTCTGCAACACCTTATCTTTGTTTGGCATTTTTTTGTCTCTTAACTAGTCCTTTATAGAAACTTGTACATATAGTTGCTCGAAAGTCAAATTTATTGTTCTATGAGTTAAGAGAAATGTATTTCTGGAGTTGTTCCTATGATGTGAATTGTGGTCAAGGTTTAAAAGGTCAAAAAATCCTGACCTGGACGTGCTTTTATACAGCTCTCTATTAATTACCTAAAGCAATCCTAAAATCATTTCTTGGAACATAAAAAGAGCATGCCAAAATTTTTATAAAATGTTCAAGTTCTGAAAGCTTCTGAATTTTATAGGTAAAAGATAATGAAATGAACTAGTGGGATTTATATTTACATACTTCTCAAAGTTTGGCCTATATTACTCTATTCATGGATCTGGAATTGTTTCTCATATAAAATCATGGTCTAGTTATGAGCTGTGTTATTCCTCTAACCCATTGCTTATTTGTGTTGTTTTCCACTGTGGTTACTGCACTAGCATGGCAATGTTTATCGGGAGCTGGGAGTTTGGGGGTGTGGTTTAAATAGTGCTTTGCATGAAATATCTTACTTTATAATGATGGAATTGCGTTTTCTTTTGCCTTGTGATTTTTTTTTTTTCTTTTGAAGTGAAATTTAATTTGTGTGTGTGTGTGTAGTGTTTTTCTGCCCATCTGAGTGTCTTGTATCACATTCCATGCCCTCACTTAATTCTTAATAAACTGTTTACTTGCTTTCTGGCTAGCATGGTAATTACTGGAGTAGTACAAATGTGTTGAATGGCCCTTGAGAAATTCATTGAGATCACAGTATAAGTCATAATTGCAGGGAAACCGTGTAGTTTTGAGTCTGATAGTGTCAGGGTGCAGCATAAATGTAAAACTGTGAGTGTTGTGGCCATATTTACTCAGATGCTTCATGATAGAAGTAGAATGTGTTTAGATGTTTACACCATCCAATGCAACAGTAGTCCTAAAAATTCATTAATGAAAATCAATGTGCTTAACTTATAAAGAGAAATATATTTTTGTTTCCTATGTCATAAAAACATTCTTGATAAGTTTCCAAATCTCAGTTAGTGATATTTTTTCTCTAAAAGGAAAAAAAAGTATTGTATTTTATATTTCCATATGCTAGTGACCTATATGTAATCAGTCCTCAGCGTTCCATAAGAAGAGAGTGATGGTACAAGTATCCCTACGTCTCACTTTAAGTCTGTGTAAACTGCTTTATCTTCCTGCTTCATTTAAGATGATACCAAGTGTTTGCTTGCTATTTCCTGAGCGTGCATGCCCACGTATGATGTGATCCAATTGTTTGCAGGTTGAGGCAAGAAAACATGCAAATAAATTTCTCAAAGCTCTTAACAATTAGTTCTCTCGACTATACCTTTACCTTCTGTCCTGTCCAGTTAGAAGACTACAGTGACAGAAAGCATGCAGTGACCCTGTCACCAGATCTTGCAGACTGAAAATACTGCTTTTCACTATCTCCTTCGTCCCTGTATATACCCTATGTTTCTTGGCTTACTGGGTTGTGGCCTGAAGTAGTTAGTCCTATTAGTAGTTAGTAGTTTGCCTTCTCCACTTAGGTACTTACTCACAGTTGCTATTCCCATAACACAGATAGCAGGGAATCCCCAGAATGCTATACCAGAATAGAGCAGTCTATACAAATGAGCTCTGCTAATGGGCATTGTCTTCATGCTCTTTGTTCCACACACTGGAAGAGGGAGGAGGGAAGTAAGGATGTCATTCGGTGGTAGAGCATTTACCAAGCAATAAACAAGTCCACCCAGCACTGTTTTAAAAATTAAATAATGCAAAATGTTTTATTTCTTTTATAAAATTATTGATCTGCAAGACTAGAAATTGTTGTAATCTGAGTCAGATGTGATAGCACAGACCTCTAATACCAGCACTTGGGAGGCAAAAACAGGCACATCTCTTAGTTCAAGGTCTACAAAGTGGGTTCCAGGACAGCCAGGGTTACACAGAGAACCCTGGGTGTGGAGGGCATTTAAGAGCAAGTGTCTACAACAGGGTGGTGGTAGTACACACTTTTAACTCCAGCACTAAGGAAGCAGAGGCAGGTAGTTGGATCTCTTTGAGTTCAAATCCAACCTGGTCTACAGACTGATTTCCAGGACAGCCAGGGTCACACAGACACCCTGACATCCTGTCTTGAGTAAACGAATAAAGCCACTGTCTGGAAGAGCAAGTAAAGGCTGACTCCTGGGAGCCACATGGTGGAAGGAAAAACCTGAATTGTCATCCTTCATGTATACATGAGCACATTGACCCATCCCCATCGCATGTTCTCACAAAATAAAATTATTTGTTTGGGTTTTTTGAAATAAGCCTTCTTAGCCCTGGGTGCTCTCAAACTCAATTTAATATACAGGCATACACCTAAAATAATAAAACACTGAGAAAATAAAAAGCAACTCAGAAAAAGTAAGTCTACCACCCGAACCCTTCATTCCCCCGAGAACAGAGGGGAACATGGTCACAAACATTAGAGTGTGGCACTCCAATTGTAAGGGTGGTGGCTGGCATCCTAACCTTAAAAGGAACCCAAGCTTATTAACAGGATTGGAACCCAGTGTGGAGGGATTGGTCTGAATGGCTAGCTTTTCACAAGAAACCCATTGATGCTGTTCGCCATTTACTGTATATAACCCGGAGTTACATGGATAAGGTATGGCTACTGCTGGGAACTGATCTACTTTGGGAATCAGAAAAGTAGGGCGACAATCTTGTCATACAAGCTCTGGTCACGCAAAGCATGTTACTTCATTATGCATTACATCACCAGCTTTGTAATTTGAACTCTAGCTCTCACGTTTGTGCAGCAAGCAGCCTCTAAGCCATCTCTGCAGCCCATCGTTCCTTCTAAAGTCTGTGCACCATTATATAGAGGGAGCAATAGCAAAGACACTGCAGCAGTAACATGGCACGGCTACACATATTACAGTAGTAATATGAGTCAGCCAAAGAAGTTGACTGCCAAGAACAGTTATCAGTTGGCCAAGAGGCAAAGAATAAGAGACTGGAGTACTCAGCTCTAAAATAGGGTGTGTTTCTGTTACACTTCCCCCCCAAGACTCGGGTCGCCACTGAAAAGGGGGCCAAAATATTCCAAAGACCTAGAAGAACATCTGCAACAAAACTATTTGCTGGATGTGACAGAGTGTTGCACACATAACAAGCTCAAGCCAACAGAAGGCTAAGTGTAGGTGGAAGAGGGGATCATGAAGTCCTTTGTCTGGAGCTATTTGGCAAATGATGGCTGCTGGAAAAGGGGGAGTACCTTTTCGCAAGAATACAGATCCAAGCTGCAGTAGAAGGTCCCACACCTGTGCACATCTGGTCAAACACTAAGTGGACTCTGGGTATTAGAACATGACTTTGAGAAGGAAGGGTGGGAATAGGGGAATCACTGGAGGAGGGAGGAATAGTGGTGGGGTGGATCGGAACCAAATGTGTATGAATATTCAGTTTTAAAAAATGCCACTCCTAGTTATTTAGAAATCCACCACCAGTTAGATCAATACTATATATCACCCAACTCCCTATACACTGGGCTGGACAATTACACGCTAGAGATTAAATCCATCTTCAGATGAAGGCAGGCGAGCTCAAGAATTAAACTCAAGCTTCTTCTACTTCGGGAAAACACCAAATGGCGGATGACGCCGTTGCAGCGGGAGGACCCCGGGGGCCCAGGATTAGGAGGCCGCGGCGGCTTCCGTGGAGGCTTTGGCAGCGGCCTCAGGGGCCGCGGTCCTGGCCGTGGCCGTGGTCAAGGCCGTGGGGCTCGTGGAGGTAAAGCCGAAGACAAGGAGTGGGTCCCTGTCACCAAGCTGGGTCGCCTGGTTAAGGATATGAAGATCAAGTCCCTGGAGGAGATCTACCTTTTCTCTCTGCCCATTAAGGAATCCGAGATTATTGACTTTTTCTTGGGGGCATCTCTTAAGGATGAGGTTCTAAAGATCATGCCAGTACAGAAACAGACAAGGGCTGGCCAGCGGACCAGGTTCAAGGCTTTTGTCGCTATTGGGGACTACAACGGTCATGTTG